GGTAACGTTCCAGGGACTAGTCACGAAAGAAAATGTGGCGAATCGTGAAGAGTTCACACGAAATGCCGCCGCAATAACCCGGCGTTGTGCTGAAGGCAGGCGGGGGGAGAGAAAACACACTGATTCACCCTCCTCACATCGAGTAACGCGAGTACGCTAGAGCGGCGACAAAAAAAAAAAGGCATCGCATCAATGCGAAACTACAACGAGTAATTACAATAAACCAAAAACACCAACAAAAGGAAGTAAACAAAAACAAATTAAGAAAGCTGCGCGCGCAGCTGCTGCTGCTGTCCGGTTACACGTGCTACACAGCTTTCGCCGGTCGACAGCCTTTCTGGGCTGTCATGCCCTGAAAAATACGCACCCAAGCCTAAACATCCTATTCTACGCCGTTCTGTGCGAAGAGCGCGGCATGTATCCGCCGAAGAAGAAGGCCCCCTTCGTCACGCTCTAAACGATATACTCGCTTTCGTGCGAGCACGTCAAACGCGAGTTTCTCACGAAAAAGAAAAAAAAGCGAAGACGCTGCAAGATACGACGATCGACAAATCGAATCGCCCATATCGCAGATGTTGCAAAAGCAGACAGACGCATTTGTTCGTTCGTTCGTGGTAAGCCCTAAGTGGAATAAGCCCTGACTTGTCTCACGGCATCAACCGAAGTTGACGGTTTGGCGATAAACAGACACACATTAACCAGGATACCACGCTTGGGGATACATGATAGGGAGGAGGAGCGCTGCGACTAACATTCATCCTCTCTCTCCTCCTCCCCCCCTCCTGAAGGGGACCTCTGTGCACGCTTATGAACGGAGGTGCGCCTTGATCATTTCTGGACTGTGGTATGGAAGTACAAGGACCTAAGCACTTGGACGTCATAGCCTGAGCAGTGTATTTTGCGGTGGGGTCACAGCCCAGAGAGGGATTATGGCGAAATCGACGTAGCCTTCGTTCAAAACGTGTATTCCACGCCGTTAGCAGCTTCAATGATACCGAGACCCAATCGAAACGTTGTTGACGTCTGCGCGAGAACTAAAAGCAAAACTACCCATGACGACAAACAGATGCAGCTTTCATTACCGGTTTTCCAATATGGCGGCTAAAATGACGTCACTGCAACCACTACAAGCAAACAAGCGCTGCGGGAGGCCCACAGATCAAAGGAATACAAGAGTGGAATGCCAGTCCTGTACAGACATAAACGGAACAGTGAAAGGGGGGGAAATGGAAGCATCACAGCTCGTAGCAAACACGTGCACAGAACATCTGCAGAGAGTTGAAGTAGCAACTGCTCTGCGTACACTAGCACCTCGCATGCATCTCGTCCAAGGGCGCCCACCGCTTACAGTTCAACGGAACCCCGAGCGTCACCAGTCGTTCGGCAATCCGCTCTGCAGCCAGCCAAGGTCGCCAGATGACAGACAGACGGCTGCCGTACCCGAGCGGACGTTCGCACGAACTGCCGTTGCTTCGGGCTATTGTTTTACAAGTCGCCGGAACTCATTCGTTCGCCTGATTGAATGACGGCCACCGGCATTTATTGAAAGGGAGTGTCGCCGCCTCACCGACAACACTGAAGTATCGTAATTGCAGTAGCGAGCCAAACTCTAATACGGTATAGGGGTGAGTGTAAATATTTGAGGGAAGAGATAGAGAAACCAATCGAGCACTCGAGTTCTCTAATAAATCATTCGCACCAACTCTGATACAACGTTGTATTTCATTGCCCACATTAGAGTGAATGTGTGTATTTAAAAAAAAAGCTAGAAAAAAAAGGCCTTAATCATAACGTAAAATACCAGTCTGCGATTCAAATTGCCACCTTGCGGGATTCCCAAGAACTTATTCACAATATATTGCATTTGCAATATATTGGAAACAACAGCAGACAGCCCGCAGCCACAATCCAGCTCACGAACAACCTCTTCACTCCCAGTCTGAGGCGCATTTCCGGGTACCTTCAGCCGAAACCACGTAACATTGTGCGATCGCTAGCCTCCAGGTTAGCTCAATCGGTTGAGGGTATCGGGTTCGTTCTCCGGACCAGGACAAATTTTTGCAGCTACTAGACGCCTTCTTTCTAAAAAATCCGCCGAGGTATCCAAGTGGCCTCGTGCTACGAAAAGGGGTAGTCGCCGATTTCCGACTTCTCCCGTCTAGACGTGGCGACAAACAAAACTTTTATTTCCCACTGTTGCTCCCTCAGTAAATTCTATCTACTCCTCGTTTTGCTGTTCTAATTATTATTATTATTATTATTATTATTATTATTATTATTATTATTATTATTATTATTATTATTATTTAGCTTTAGGCGACGAAACAAACAAAACATTTTACCTCCTCCTCCCCACACCCGTCACCATGGTTCCTCCAGCTAATCACATAATTTAGGGATTGCAAATAATTGTAGTAACAGCCACCAGATCTGACGTATTTTTTACAAATAAAATACTTTAAGCACACTTCGACATTGGGGAGCGATTTCATGTTCAAACCTAAAGCAATATTCCGCAGGCAAGGTGTCAATAAATGTGCGAAAATCAAGTTCCCCCCCCCCCCCCTAAAAAGAAACTATTCAAGTTTAGGCGAATACGGCGCGAGGAGTGTTACGCTACAAATAAAACGCTGTATTTCACTACAAAACAGCCGGCGTCTTCACAAACAAACGGGACGACAAAAACGGTCACAGTAATCATAAGAGTAAACATAAAACTTCCAGGATATATTACGAAAGCTTTATGAAGCACGTTTCAAGAGTACGAAGGGCAAGCCAGCGTCTAACAGGAAAACTTAAGCAAGGCGCAAGCACACAGGCGCTGGCATGAGTGAACATGCGTTTCTGTCAAAGAACAGGCGCTCAATAAACAGGTCGAACGCCCCTCCCGCGACGTCATTTTCAAGCACACCAGACTTCACTGTCGATTGCGCTCGAATTAAAAAAAAAAGGGGGGGGGGATTACGGCGCAGATAAACATTAATCAGAAAGCGAAAGTAGTACATAGCAGTGTTGACACAGCGGTGAGCTGTCAACAATCTACACACCGACCGCGATCGAACACAATATTAACCTAAATAATGATATTTGTTCCGCGTTGTATGTTTTTCAGAGTCAGCGATGCGTTTTCGCCGAGAAGTGGGCGGTGAAATCGAAAGACAAGTTGCCTTTAAAAATTCGCAGCTTAAACGCAAACCAACAAGTCGGCCCGTAAGGTAAGCAACGCAAGTTAACTCACTAAATTCGCAGCGCACGTTGAAACCTAAGCGAGGAAACAAAGGAATCTACACAAGGCAACAACTAAACCCGAGTTCGCATATAAAACACTCGCAAAGCGCGCGTAGAGCTCAACGATGTTTCTTAAAGCGGTGGAAAACGAAACCACGCCCGATTTTTTCATCTCGGTTTCATTTTAAGAGCCGCGTCCAAACGTCAGTGCCCGCACGACAAACTTCTAAATACACAATGTTTTTCTTTTTTTAACTCACACGGAAATCATGCCGCCGTGGTCGATGACATTTGAGGCCAGTTTGGGTAACATGACCGAAAGGCAGGGGGGCGTGAAAGGTTGGCGCTGTGCCCAAGGCTGATCGGTCGTCACATATGTTCTCAACACGGTCACTAGACCGACCGGAATCGACCTTTTACAAGAACCGGACAAGCGGCGCCGTTAGAGTTCCGTAGTTTCTTGTCTATATCGACTCCTCCACGGCTACCGCGGTGACTTAAACACGGAAGAATGCAGGTGGGGAAAAACCGATTCTTACAGCACGTCCGCCAATGCTGCCAAGCACGCTTCCACACTTTCGCTTCAATTCCGGCGTTCAGATAGACCGCCCAGCCACTGCTCTATCGATTGCACAGAAATAAAAAGTAAACGGTTTCGAAACACGGATCGACATCAGAATGTGTGAACGGCGTGACCATCGGAAACCGAAGATCGTGAATCGGCGTCGTCGACCTACTGACGCGGAAAGGCTGCCCCCGCGTTCGCTCGAAGAAAATGAGAAAGAGAATACGAAACAGGGGCAGTGCGACGTTGTCCGTAGGAGTTACGGGCACCGTTATCTCGAAACCGCCGCGATAACAACGGTAAAAGCGGCCGGCACTGAGCCGCGGGAAGGAACAAACGGAAAGCTACACGCCAGCGTAAGCGCCGATCGCCGCAAACCGAACCCAAGCGAAGCTTTATTTTTGAGCGCGTGCCCGCGCGTCTTGGGGACGCATTTACGTTTCTCCGTGCGGCTGTTGCGAGTTCGAAGACGTGTGAACAGTCGGGCACAACAGATTGATACGGCAACGCTAAGTACGAGCTGTAAGAGTAGGAATGAGAAACACACCGTCGTCTACTTCGACGACCGACTCACCGAGGGGATCCATGTTTTCCATGATGACGCCGCCGATGCGGCTTTCCGAGCCGTAGCGAGCGTCGAGTCCGTACGCACGCTGTCGCAGCCTTCGCGTCTTGCTTGTAGCGTTCGTCGCCTTCGCGTGGTGTTCGCAACGCCGAGCTCACTGCTGGCTACCGTTCGTAATCCGCCCGATCAGCATGACGATCTCTCACAAGAATTCTTCGCACATCAGCCACATCACAACAGAGCACGGCGGCAGCTGCCTAGCGACTTTTCACAATTGGCGTATCCGGAGTATCAAGGCGCACGCCGATGGTACACGTAAGGCTGTCAAAACAGCAAGACACCACTGTTTGAGAAAATGCCACTTATTCACCTTCGCAACGGTAGTTAAAATCGCTGTCAGCTTAAAGGGTAAGATATAGCAAAAGAATAAAAGACATCTGAACTGCCTAAGTAACTGTTGTCTTTAAGTTTTAATAACCAATCTTGAAGGCCACGCTTTTTCACGCTGACTACGTCACCTGCAAACAAGATCACGTCATAGCCGTCTTGTTACGCGCGCGTTTTGAAAGTCGACCGGTGGTGGTGCATCGAGCGCTATTGCGCGGCAAAGAAGCGGGAACTTGCACAGCAGACGACGACTGAAACAGCAGACCGTCAAGAAGGCCAGACATGAGTTCTCAGGGCAAGGTAACCGTAATTATTAGCTGTACAAGTATAGCTAACGTAGAACTCGTAATATTGTCTAGTCACGGCGTAGCAGTTGGACAGCAGCGTGCGTTGAGGAGCCTAGCCGTGGCATCGCAGAACTCAGAGCGTAATTTTTTGGCGCGTGCTCTAAAGGCGCGCAAGTAGTCTTCGGCCTTCAGGCCTGCGATTGTCTAATTGCTCTGATGCGGTGTCGTTGTGATCTTACAGCGTAGGAGCGGCGCAACTACATACGGCAACGACCGGAGCAGCCGTATTGAGAAGAACTCACGAGAAAAGTAAGTAGGAAAAAAAAAATGGTCAACACACGGCTCCCGCTGCGATGTGCGTAGGAGTGACTCTAGTGGCCCTAATAATTTGTTAAGCGCTCTGTAACGAAATACTGCTCTGTTAATCGCCAAGACAAGACATGGATGAGCATCATTTTATGGAATACACTCTACGAATGGGATCATTACCAGTTATTAATTGATTTGTATCCACATTCGCCCTCTTGTCCTTGCAGATCACGTCACAGAGCTCTGATGCGGTGCCTTGATGAGCTCGTGGACGAGTTGCCGATAGATAAAAGAATCTTCAAAACCAGGGTAACGCGTTGTATTCATTCCTGACGTGTGTATATATATATATATATATATATATATATATATATATATATATATATATATATATATATATATATATATATATAAGCGAAAGAAGTGTATACCTAAAGGCTCGTTTTTCCGTGTTTTAACACAATATTAATGAGATCTAACCGACAGTAATGCCAAGGAATGTACAGGGGAAGTTATTAGAACCATTGGATTGTAAATAAGAAGAAAGAAAAGTGGATGAAAAAATAACCAGCCGTGGGCCTGCCCACGAATGGTTATTTTTTCATCCACTTTTTTTTCTTATTTACATTCCATTGGTTCTAATAACTTCCCCTGTACATTATATATATATATATATATATATATATATATATATATATATATATATATATATATATATATATATATATATATATATATATATATATATATATATATATATGAGATCTAACAGACAGTAATGCCAAAGAATGTACAGGGGAAGTTATTAGAACCAACGGAATGTAAATAAGGAGAAAGAAAAGGGGGTGAAAAAATAACCAGCCGTGAGCACGGCTGGTTATTGTTTTTTCACCCACTTTTCTTTCTCCTTATTTATATTCCGTTGGTTCTAATAACTTCCCCTGTACATTCTTTGGCATTACTGTCTGTTAGATCTCATTAGTGTTGTGTCAAAAACACGGAAAAACGAGTCCTTAGGTATACACTGCTTTCCCTTACATATACATAAATAAATAAATATATATATATATATATATATATATATATATATATATATATATATATATATATATATATATATATATATATATATATATATATATATATATATATATATGTGTGTGTGTGTGTGTGTGTGTGTGTGTGTGTGTGTGTGTGTGTGTAACAAACTTTTCTAGTGCACTTTGGAGCTAGTATCTGCCATCTTTCTGTTTTTTAATCAACCAATATTTATTTCAAGTTCTTATTAGTGCATTAAAATACACACGGTGCTGATTAAACCCATAGCCACTGGCTAGTCGGGGGTCTATTGTGCATTTCAAGAAACACGTTTAAACAAAGAAGATGTAAGGACAGAGTACATTTCAATCATAACAAGAAAAAAAATGGAGCAAAACAAAAACAAAAATATATTTATGATAGGGTAATAGCAGTACCGTGCAATACGGTACATATATGCATGCAACATATTGTTTGAATACTGTACATCAAATGCAAATACGTAGAGGTGTATAAAAAATGTCAAGTACGATATACAATCAATATGTCATGAAGCAGAAATTGCAGTGAAAGTGCTTGCTAGTGTAACTGTTTTCATTTTTTGAACAAAATTATTTTTTTTTAATGCACAGGAAAGATTTTTGCTTTCTTTTATTTCGTACGGTTATATCATTTCATATCTCGACACTCCCAAACTGTTCTAGTCATTTTCCACGAATATTGTTTAGAAGATTTAAATTGTGTAGTGCAGCACGTCTGCTAAAGCGAGAGGAAGATGAAAAATTGATATGTGAAAGGGCAGTTTGCAATGAATGACATGGACGATGAGTGCAGTGCCGTCTTTTGGTGTCATAAATAATCTAATGGTACTATTTCCATTTTATGAAGCAATGGCACACTGGGTTAATCATATCTAGTATTGCTTATTATTCAAAGTGCTTGCTTTAGTAGAATACGTATGGGTTCCAGATATATATTTAAAGTCCACCCCCGTAAATCTGTGCAATATGATGCATGACAATGAAAAGAAAACAGAAATAGAGCATTCAGCGAATATTACTTTAAAAATAATTTTTAGCATTTAATAGTATACTGCATCCAGGTCCTACTTTAGCGCATACTGGGGTAATATGGTTTTGCCGGTCTGAATGGCTCTAAAAAGTTACTCCCAAATATTTAAAATCTTTTTGCATTAATTCAAGTGTGCATTGATTCGTTGCAATGCAAAGGGGTTTACTGCTAGCAGGAGTACCTTCATGCAGCTTGTCTAAGGTGCGTCAAAGTAGCTGATTTTCGGGGTCCTGTCATTGTTCGTCGCGCCAGAAGCTACGAGTATGTCGGTCTTTCATGGAGTGCCTTGAAGTGGGTGCCTCTTTCAGAGCAAGTCCCATCACCTTTAGAGTAATAAGGGTACCAAATGCAACATTTCTTCACTGATATTTTTCACAGGTGGTGCCACATTTAAGTAGACTAAGGGCACAGCAACTTTTGTTTTGATCGCACCCTGCTCCTTGTCAGGATTACGCAAAATATCATTACATGAACTATTGTTATCCTTACATGGAATATTGCTATAGAGTATCACGCTGTAATCTTCACCTCATTTAATTTGCAACAATGATCGACACTTTGAAACAAGGCCACCACAGCATCGTAAGCTTCCATTTAACCACGTTAGAAATTATCAGTACAGTGTGGTGTCTCTTTAATCCCGTAGAGTGTGATAGACTAAACAAACGATAAAAATGCCAGGATTCCTGAGTGATCGAGTTAATATGATGAATTAACCTCCGGTCTTGAACCCCTCACCGGAGTCACGAGGAAATGGTGCTTGCTGGGCTATAAATCTATTTAAAATATATTGAAACAAAGAGACCTATTGTAACCAACAACAGTCTTTTTTTCCCCCCTCTTCAGTACAGTCATATTGCGGTGACTATTCTTTGTCGATATAAGTAACAGATACACGAAATTAGTTCATTCTGCTGGCAGGGTGCTCCAAAACCTATTTGGCTTTATATATATATATATATATAGCATACAAGATTTTTTTCTAAAATAGCAAACTCGATAAATATTGTTTTCTAATGTTGCCTCAATCGTAATATGCACTGAAGCAAACATCCAAGAAGGCGATACGCAGTCACCAAGTTTACTCCCTTGCATTTACGTTAGTCATGCGTACACCAAAAATACCAGGTACGACGGCCCCAATTATTGGCTTTTAAAATTTATGCACATTAACGATCAAACACCCCCCTGTCCTGTAGGACTCCACATGTTTGTGATATTGAAACCATGAAATATGCTGTTCTTCTCTGCAGATATCGCAACTCAACAGGATCATAGCATACTTCTATTACTTGGAGGACACCGTCCAAGCCATCTGCAAGCAGCAAGGCATTCCCTTGCCCGCGGACTACCAGCGTTTGTTGGCCAATCGAAGCTGCCAGTCAAAGGGGAACTGCAAGTGTCGCATAGCCCTCGCGAGAAGGGCGGCCGCTTTCATAGTAATACCTCTCTTTCTTGACTCTTTCATTTTGTTCTGGCTTGCTGGCACCGTAACATTCCCATATGCTGTGTGTATGTCTGAGGCAAGAAAGACTGAACGGAACCGGAGAAGTATTTTTTGCCGCCTCGTATCTGCCGTTAGACGCAATCTGACGAATTCCTCTTACAGTAAAGCCAAGAAAAGTACGGGGGATGTTACTTGTTTGTTTTGACTGCAGTGTAGTAATTATGACATAATCGTGGAAAGAAATTAGAGTGGACAATAACCTAACTCGCCGCACGTGGCGAGCGAACCTACAATATTTGCCCAACGCGTAGAGCAGTGGTGGAGCACTGGACGTGCTATACGAACGTTGCATACTCACTTCCTAGCTGCGGCGACTTGATCTTTCGTCCACTTCTACTGCTCCCCGTTTGTGTCGTAATCACTATGCCATGCAGTTAAAACATACACGTAATGTCCCCTATGCCTTTCTTGGCTTCACTGTCTATTGGTATCATGAGGCAAGAATTATTAAGCATGTTAGTGTTGTCATGCCTGCTAAAAAGGAACAGCATCGACTATATTTCAATTCACTGTGTTTCTCATCTTTTGGGTCAGGAGCAGTGCCAGGACTTTATTCTAAGGGAAGGGGAAGGGGGGCACCCAAAAAAAGTGAGTTTCTTGCATGGGGCAGCGACGTAGAAGCTTTGTGTAGTGTTTTATTTGTTTGCTAAAGAAGGGGGGAGACAAACCTCTCCCCCCCTGGCACCACCCCTGTTAGAGGGGATGCCGGAAGTGTGGTCGGAAAGGCAACGATCCTCTTGGGCAATTACGTACCTAGTTAAAATTCAAAAAAACTAAAAAATTTGATACGGCATTTATTCTGTCTTAATGTAGTGAATCAATTTTATACAAGAGTCTTTTTTTTTTAAGCAGCCGTGTAAGTTCATAAAATAGAAATACAGGGACTGCATTAGACAGTTCAGAGTAATCATCTGCTGATGCTGGTCAACGTGCGAGTAATCGTTAAAAACATCTCGACTTTTTTTTTTTTCTAAACTGAACCTATGTTTTTGAGAGAATGTTAGGTTGTGGTCCACATTTAAAACTTCTAGAGGAGCGAAAACACGTTGGTGGGCTAGTTGGCTTACGTCCCTGAATTGTTAGTTAACGCGACAGACAATGTTCTTCGGCGGCCTTCTCGGTCACAGTTGCAGAAGAGGTTCTGTGTGGGAGGTGGGGAGGGGTGAGACCTGGCCAGATAAAGATTACATAAATCTAGTCTCGCAGGCGCGTAGCCAGAAATTTGTTTTGGGGTGGGGGGGAGGGCACCATTTTGATATCGGGAGGAGCACCCGCCTTAAAATGGCCTTTTTTCTCTCTCTATGCCATGGCGAAAAAAAAATTTTCTGGGGGAGGGGGGGGGGGGGGGGGGCATGTGCTCGGTGTGTTACCCCCTGGGTACGCCCCTGCAGTGTAGTAACTCAAATCGTTTCGCACACAGCACATCGGAGCACGTGTTTCTCAGTTGAAAACGACGACGTAGAGTTCTTAAATCGTTAAATGAAATTCGCAGACAATACTACGAAGAGGAGGAAAGGTACAAGTTGGGTGCTTTCGTGTGACTTTTTAACTCTTTCACTGTTTTTACGAAAGTGCTCTATTGTAACGAATGCGTATGTCACTGCATTGAGTAGCAGAAAAATAGCAATAGTTATAGCACAAGTTTTGTTGGAAACAATTTGTGCAGTTAGTGCAAATCAGCCTTTTTTTGTTGCGCACGTGTGTAACAGTCGATGAAGTTGTCTAGCAATGTTCGTAGTCGCCGGTTACGGAGTTCTCCTCTACGTGGATCATTGACTATAAGCAATATTGGAAGAACATAAAAACTCTTTTGAAGATTGGGCTTTTTTTTTTAACTAAACATGCCTGCAAAATTTGGCATTGTCAAAAGGGATTAGTTATGCACACAATGTTGTAAGTAACCTTTCATAAAACAGCCATAGAACTGGCGTATACATGTGATAAACGAGGAAAACAACACGATCGATATGAAGCGTGAAACATTTAAAAATGACTCGCGTAAAGTTTTTATGTGGCAGGAAAAAAATTGGGTGCAGACACTATCTCATTGGGAAGTAAGTTCCGCCCTTCAGTTGAAAGAATGAAAACTTGAGAACATTATTGAGACATGGGTAGGACCTTATATTCTTGGAATTCCAAAGTCTGACTTGGACTGGTAATGAAATTGCTTTTATTGTACGTTCTTACCAGTTCCTGGGTTAATGCTGCAGATGTCATGCAAAAGCTTTAACCTGACTATTTTGCTGCAAGCGTATCGTAACCTAGTAGAACCCTGTCGGAGGCCATGGGTACGAGCTGGGCTGGTTTTGTCTGGTTTACCCAGGAGTGCAACTACGCTCAGTCGACGGCTGGTGAAGGCCAAGACGCCGTCGTCCCGGACATCGAGTTCCCGCCAGACATGCCCAGCAGCCGCGAGCGGGAAACGGGAGAGTGGGAACGATACGTGAGTGTGTGGGGACTCCCCATCATGGAGGGAGCGTTTTGGCATCCCGTTCTGTACATGCGTTTTGACGCAACCCTAGGGTTGGCGAATTCGCTCTGACATCAGTATAACAAAGCTGACCTGACTTACTTGTACAAAAAAAATTTTTAATTGGAATAGGTCGTATGCAAATGTCCTTATCTTTAGTTCAGAGGAAGTGAAAACAACTTTGAATAGTAGCAGGATCTTACTTACAGTCGACTGCAAGCGATAACTTGCAACATACGTTACGTTCTTAAATTTACTATACTTAGAGCATATAAGCTGGGATAACAAGCTTTCAAATTTAAGAAATTGTTAGTCGATGTGATGGTGTCGTGTTTATTTAACCTCGAAGTGGGGCTTCTCGGCAGGGCAGATTTTTTTTTGATAAGTATATGAACCATACATCACCCCTCCACTGCAGTGGAACCATTTCTACAGGGTCGATACATGCACAGTAATATACACCTCTTCGTTTTTGTTGAAAACTTCGAAATTTACCAATAATTTAATTCAAATAAGAGCAAATACGAACACTGTAACATTTGTGCGAATATTCAAAGTGCTAAAATATTCGTACCAGCCTACACAATACTTTTCAGCGACAATGCATCAACGCTATCACGGTGAAATGACTTGCGCGCTGATCGTTATAAAACGGGCGGTCGCAGCTCTGTGTGTCGTATTCCCAGTGGGTCAACATTATTGATTATATATAGGTTCGCTCCTGCCTACAGCAAGTTAAGTTTTTGCCCACTTTTCTCTTTCACAATTACATTATAATTACTTTTAATAACATCCCTATGCTTTCCTCGGCATGATTGTCTGTTGATCTCATTGGCATTGTGTTTAACGAAGAGAACAAGCCCTTAAGGGAGCAGACGAGTCTTTGGGACCAAAAAGTGACAACAAGAAAGTCATGTTTTAAAATTACATATTTGGTTTCTGTGAGTATGTTTCTATCTCTCTGCAAATTTTCACACTCCAGGAAGTAGTAATTTTTTTGTAATGTTATTTGAACTGTCCAGAATTTTGGTGCTGTTAACATGCAGAACCTGCAATAAAATGGAGCCAACTTCGAGGCTTCTTTATCATTGACCGGCACCTGCGTTAGAAGCTCTGTGAACATGTTTATGAGCACCTTTATTAGGATTGCAAAACATGCACACCACTGATTGTTGCTTTTTGAAGAAGCTGTGTGTTTTCAGTTTTTACCATTTTTCTCAAAAATGTAAATTTACGACAGTTCAATTTAGAGGCCTCAATATCGCTGCAGCTAGGGCTGGTACAACAATAATTCTTATTGCAACGGAAACCTGTATATGTGTAGAATGCAAGTATGGCAGCAGAATTTAGAGCCCAAGCCTCTTTAAGTATTTACTCATCGAAAGTTGTAACACAATCCCAACTGCTATTGAAAATGGATAGTTCATTTTGCTGTAAAATAACCAAGAAAGGCCTAAAACAAAAGAAACTCTTGCATACTTTTAATCTAGAGTCATTAGTACTATGTTGGCATATCTTAAGTAGCACTTTTAATTACGCACTTTTTTTTTCTATGGCGGCCTTAAAGAAGAGGGGGCGAACTTAAGTTATCTAATGAACAAGATGCGTTACACGAACACTTATAAATATTTGAATTAAGCACAAAAACTGCATAATCCTGTGCAGTTTGATCAAGATCACTGAAGAAATGAACAAAAAAATGTCTAAGACCAGTCTGCCCCCTTAAGTGGACACTCCTTTCCAGCGTTATTGATGGCCACACATGGCAAGGAAGAACCATTATTCCTGACAAGTGTTTGGTCGAAGACGCTCACACAAGTTGCTCTGCTCAAAGCACTGCTGATAGCGCTGCAGTACGGTAGTGCACGAGCGTGGTTGCATGGTTTTATTTCATATTTCACAGGCTTTCACTAAATTCTAGAAAAAATCACCACGTGGCATGTAAGTTGCTACGAAAAATCGGATTCGTCATTCTGAAATACCCTCTACAATGCATGCTTAGCCTTAAAAGACTAATTGCATAAATATTTCATTATTGTTCTTAGTTAATTAACTAATGAAGCTTTATATATGTTGCCCTAACAAGTGCCACATAAGAGCCAGCCATATGCCATCGGTTTCATGAATTTCTTGTTAATCATTAGCAGCTGCAGTAATTTCGACAAACCACGGCTGTTAGTGCTGTGCTATTTGCATCTGCTTTTACTGTTCAATTGCAATGGCAGAGTGAAGGCGAGAGCTTAAATATTTATTTTTTATTCCTTGGTTATACTTACATGAGATTCCCTGTACGTGTATGTATGCATAACTAATAACAATAACAATTGCTGGGCACTCTAATGTCTCGTAACCACGAATTATGATTACGAGGGACGCTGTAGTGGACAGCTTTGGCAATTTGGACTGGCCGAGGCTGTTTAATGTGCACCTAAGTACAAGTATACAAGCATTTTCACCTCCATCAAAAATGCGGCCGCCAGATCCAGGATACGATCCCGTGACCTTCAGGTCAGCAGTCGAGTGCCATAACCGGTAGACCACCCTGACGGGTGCACGCATGTAACTCAAACCTCAGTGTAAAAAATTGGCACCGTACGTGAAAGTAAGTTTACTATATCCGAAAATTCGTTATAAATGGGCATATTCCTAAGACCATATCTCTTTGTCAGAATGGTTGATTGGGTGAGTGAGTGTCCATGTCATCCTTGCCTACCTATCGTGCTCGTATTTCAAATCAAGTTCTGTCTAACGCAAGGCTATCTTTCATTTACTTTGTTATAACCAATATTTTGTTATATCCGGGTTCGTTATATCGAGTTATGAGTATAACTAAATGCGTTGTTTCAAAAACAGACAAAATTAAGAAATGAATTTTATGTTGGCGACCGTTTCTTCAGGGCATATCCAAGGAGGACTGGATGGCCGCGGGGTCTTCACAGCAGAACACCCCGCAGTCGCCGAATTGGTCAGCTAATATGTGGCCAGAGAAGACCTTCGTGGACGTCATGTGCAGTAGCTCAACTGCAACTCCCTTGAAAGGAAGCGCCCGAATATTTCATCGTCTCCCCGAACGGAGATGTGACATCCTTGGGAACATTGTCCTCGTTGCCTGAACATCAAGGCACGGAACGAAGTTTCCCGTGAAGCTCAATCAATCTTGCACTTTGGCCACCAAAATGTATGCTGACAGACGTTCGAACTGCTTTTAACCTTCCTTCATGATGTTTGGCCAGTATATATGCATTTCGGTGTTTCTAATCGTCCTTTCTGTGCCTTGTGTTTGTTTTTTTCTAACAGTTTTACACAATGTATATACTTAACATATCACTGCTTCGTTTTGTTCCTATTGAGATTTTGGGATGGGAGCTGACCTTTCTTTTGTGCATCGGGAAATAAATAAGAATTTGTTGAAATAGTTAATAGCCTTCACTATTCGTTAAGTCAAATGATTGCCTGATTCATATGGGTTCTAACTTTTACACAGGCAGAGACGCCAACACACATTCTTGCAATAACCTCACATTTTTGGAATGATTTTTCTCGTAATCTCGAGCAATGCTGTGAGGTGCTCTTTACTGAGAGATGTGAACGAACATACGCAATAACGGTGTCAGGAATGTTTTCTTACAAAAAACCAAGTACGTATGTGTGTTTGTTAAATTGCATTTTGTAGATTATAAAACAGAAAACACAGTTCACTGTAAAGCATTCCAGCGTATAGGCTAAGTGCACTGAAAAAGTCACTCCCTATGTATCAGATAAAGCAGCTGTGCCATCTGTAAAACTGTCCACCACAAACTTTTACTGTTTTAGTTAGTGAGCTGGCCACATGTGTATCTTATTGTTATTGCTGAGCAAACTTTACTTTTCATCAATACTTTAAACATTTTGTTGCAGAGATTTTATGTAGAATGTTTTTTATCTTTAGATTGTTATACCGTTTATTGGATTTTAGCTGTATTTTAGTATTTTAGATTTTATTGACATAGTTGTTTCTCATGTTCAAGTTAGTCCTGAGATGAACATTTGCAATGCCTAGTGAGTCACATGTATTTTAATGCCCAGTAGCAAGGTGCAAACCTGTACCATGCTTAATTCCGTAATATATCGTGGCACGTATTCTCCCCAAGTGGCATGTCTCGTGTCACTTTAACTGAAAGAGGCAACGGGACTTTTGTTGAAGCGTTTGTTGAGCTGTACATATTGTACAAGTAGGCAACTGAAAAGCCACTGCCGGTACAGCAGGGCAGTGGTGTAATATACGTCATTGTGCAACCTTTCCGCTGTTGCAACTGTGTTTAACTGTTGTATATTTATTATTGCTTTTTGTGGGACTATTTGTGTTTTATTTTTGACGAACATTCCCAACCTGATAGTTGAAAGTGTGCTCATTTTAAGCCATTCTTTGTTGGTTAATAATTGCACATTTCCTCAAGACAATATTCTAAATGTTCTTTGTATTTCAAGTCTATTTAGGCATTGCAACTGTGTTTGCTTTTGTTTGTTCACTGCTTATCCATTGTTGTTTAAAACATTATTTATATAGATTGTTGAGAGCGCTAGACATCTTTGAAGCTGCCATCTTCTGGTAAACGTATTTCTAGTCAAGAGTCACTGGAAGCCTTTCGTTATTCTTTGCAAAGTTTACTCTCACGACATCCTGTTTCTCAAAGTGCATAAAATGCAGTTTGAGGTTACTACAGTGTTCTAACGTTGTACAAACAGCGTGTGTTACTCTAAATCTGTTTGGCAGAATTGCTGGAAATTGATGAACTGCTACCTCACTTTTCGGCAGCAAAACAAACAACTGTTATGTTTGCTCAGTTTTCTTTCCGGGATAATTTATCAATTGTTACTACTATTTATAGTATACTGTATAATTTATTTATTAGGAATAAAGTCTTCTCTGCTTCAAGCCATTCTTTCTTCTCTTCTTTCTACTGCTATGCAAGTACAACGAGTATGACAATTTAATTTGAATTGTGTAAAATAGAGAAAGATGCATCTGCAACGGTGAAAAAGATTCTGTGTTTGGAACAAAGCAGGGTGTATATACCATGTGCACAGTCCAGGAGAAACCTCTGTGAGGTAACAAAAGCAAAAATGGCAGGCAAAAGTTCTTATTTGAATTTGCTGCCCAAACACCCTTTCTGCACCTTGTGATGAGCCCATTTGGTTCCTGCTTGTGGGTCAGCAATGAACGCATATGAAATGGGCATTCATGCGTAAAATCGCAGAAGAATGGAATGATGGGTAAATGGAAGACTTCTGCGAATAAGGAATTAGGCTCGAAGCGAATAGTGATTTTGGTTGAATAATTTCCAATCGAATTCGAATAGTAAAAAAAAAATGGGCACAGTCGTTGAACCTGCACATTTCTTAATTGAGACAAGGCCTGTGCAAATGACTTTTTTTTTTTTTCAGTTCAAAGAAAGGGGAAAGCAGGATTTCATTTCCGGTAGAATGTGAGTGATAACTTGTAAAATATAATAATTTGTAAAATTTACTATACTTAAAGCACATAAGCCGATATAACAAGCTTTTAAACTTAAAAAAAAATGAATCATTGTGAGGGTAATATTTTCATTTAACCTTGAAGTGGGGCTTCACAGTAGTATGCATTTCTCCTCAATATGTGTTGTCACAGCTTAGCATCCCTTCACTGCAACAAAGCTACCTTTACAAGAAGTTATTTAATTTATTTGTTCATTTCGAATACTTCAAAATTTTCAATAACTTTAATTCGAATCGAAGTGAATTCGAATACTGTAATATTCACTCAAATATTCGAAGCATATTCGCGCAAGTGGTCGCACGACAACATGAGGGAGAAAAGGGATACAGAATTCCAATACATGAGATTATTCTGATCAGCACCAAATGGCTGATAGGAATTGAGTGTGGTTTCGAAAGTCATTTGTGGGAGACATATGTAATCATGAAGACAATTCGAGTGGAAGACTGATGTGATGAAAAGTTGCTTCATGGAAGCAAAATGTTGCTAAAGCCAAGTTTCAACAAGAGTTATGGCAAGTCCTTTTCATGCCTTTTTGTCTGTTGTCCTCTTGACAAGGCAGTGCCTGTCGTTCTATACCCTGTCATTTGCGGCATTTAACATCCTAAACCAGCACCAACTTGCTGCAGCTTTCCACTTTAATTAAAGGGACACTGAAGCGCAAAACTATTTCTCGCGTATTAATAATTCCAGTCCTGAAAATAACACTCTTACCGCGACAAGCTTGGTAAACGGGAAAACGCGCAAAAAAAAATTGCCGGTGGAGACGCCACATCAAGATTTCCGCACCGTGAAGTCACAGATTTGAAGGCGTCTACTGCGTCCTACGCAGCGCCTAATTGATAAAAATGAAGTGCGTTATTATCCGTGGGTGCCATAGACTTAGCATACAACTTTTTATAAAATTTCATCGAGCCAATGTCGCGAAAATACGGAAAACAAACTTTGAAACATTCTTCCTCTGGGTTTTGACATTTCTGATTTCACGCACAAACGCTAAAGCACGAAATTTAAAAATGAAACTTCGATTTTTCGTCACAAATGTGGTAGTGAAACATATATAATAGGCAGTTCTCAGAGTGCCGTATGTCAATCTAAACCGAGTCATTGTTTCTCTTTGGCGTCCCTTGCCTTGTCGAAGAGAATAGGGAGGCAAGCTACGAGCGCGCCACTCAGTGCCGCTCTGAAATAGTGTTTAAGCGGTCGCGCCGCGTCACGCGCTGCTGTAACCGGAGCCTGCCCACACTCAGGCATCCTCTTTCCGGGAGAGCAATAAATAAAACTCATTTATCGTTTGTGATTCGTGGCTTTCGAGTGAATATTGATCCTCACCTGCGCTAGCGTACCCTTGGCTACCCTGGTGAGGGTAATTCACTCGTCAAACTCGGGCTCCAGCGACCTTCCCTGTTCAACAGTTTTTGAAGAACAATAATGAAGGCTCCTTTCACACTGCACTGCTGTCCCGCCAGGACAGTGTGCGTCTAATAAATGAAGGGCTATCAGCCACTGCAAAGACGAATAAATCCCTTTCATGCAGATGCGTTGACCAAAAATGACTTGGCATTTATTATTTTTATCATTGCAGCCAGACGGCCCTCCGTCACGTGTGAACGATTTGGACGCATCAAGGTTTTAAGTGAATGATCATACATAAAATAGGGAAAAAAAAGTTGCGTCACTTCTCAACTACCTACTGCAAAAGTGAGACCTGGTAAAACTTAAAGGGGCCCTGCAACACTTTTGAGCTTGGTCAGAAAGCGCTGCCAATCGCTAGTAGAGGCTCCCGACAACACGCGGGCCAAATATTATAGCGCAGCACGCGGCCTGCAATTCACAATAAATTACCAAAGTCAGCTAGAGATTGCTTTCTCTTCTCTCGACAAATGACGGAATAAGCCCAAAAATCACTCGTAGTAAGCCCATCCATCAGCCATTGGCTGATTTGAACATGGCGCGCTCGGTCGTTACAGAGTTGCCGCCGGAGGCCTTCAGTTGTCCGCGCGTGATCGCACGGAAAAAGCTACGTGTTCAACAAAAAAAAAAAAAAAATCGCAAGGTCACGAGGCATGCGTGACGTTTTCCGTTTGCCCCTCGCATCCCTCTCTGCTTAGCTTCCAGCGCTTTCGTCGGAATGAGAGGAGAGAGAATGCGATTGCAGCGTGTGACAAATGTTTGTGTAACTCCGCTCATATGAACGGATTCTTAGATTTTTTGCGGTGTTGAATTCGTGAGTAAATAAGCTCTTCCAGTGAATTATTTCCATGGTTACTCAAGAAAGTGTTTCAGGGCCCTTTTAAAGCAAAACAAACAAACTTGAACGTCGCTTTAATAGTCCCCGTTTCTTTGTGTGATGTCAGAAATTATTTGTTGTGTTGTAATTGTTTTAATATACTTGCTTAATATCAAGGTCAAGCGTTAAGATTTTTTTCTTCTTTTTCTTTTTTTACATTCATGCCATCACACATGTGAGTAGTGTTACAACCCCAAGGATTTCGCAACGAAAATGATTGAGGTGTGCGTTTGCAGGCGAAGCGCACGTCTTGAATAAAACTTCTGTTGGGCCTAGCTGGTACATAGCAAGTCGAAAACTTGAGCGTAAACTATGACGACGGTCCACAAAGAATAGATGAGACAAACAAGTTAGCTGCTTCATTCTTCTCGCCTAAAGCGCATATAAGTGCCCCAACCACAAAACCTTGCATGCACACGCGTAGCATGACTACATAAGAAGATATTAATGAAGCTGTGCACGCATGAATTCATATCACTGACACAGTCAGCTCCAATTTTTCTTTGTGCACGCTTGGAAGGCAAGCTGACCGTGCCGATAATCCATAACCAAGGCGGTGCGTCTTGTATCGCCTTTATTCGGCATTACGGGAGCCGCGCAACCGTGCCATGCGCCGCGAAGGTTGTAAAAGGCGGCGCGCGCCTTGTCAAATGATCAGTGGCTCATGGTTCCAGAAAACTTGGCTAGCCGAGACAACTGGCTCCTTCGTGTCTCCTATCCCAAAGAGATGCAACACAGTGTATTCCCTTTAAATCTGTTAAAGCTGATTTAATAATAATATTTGCGGGGTTTTGCGTCCCCAAACCAAGGCATGATTATAAGAGATGCCGTAGCAGAGGGTTCCGGAAATTCCGACCATCATGGTGTTCGTGCACTGACATCACACAGTACCCGGGCCTCTACCATCTCACCTAAATCGAAATGCGACCGCCGGGATCGAACCCGCGACCTTGGGCCAGCAGCCGAGCATGGAATATGTGTGCGTCCATGTGAGCACGCCACGCGTGATCGTTCATTTATATTTCAGGTGAATTCGCTAGCTGCAATTTTAGGCACGAAACAGCAACGTTGAAACTGCAATCGCCTTTCGTGCAAATTAGAGTGACCTAATTGTTGGGCGAGTTGGTCCATTCTTACGGTAGTTTTTAGCGCGAAATAAAGACGAGAAACGGACAAGCTTTTGCCCGTATTTCGTCTTTATTTCGAGCAGAACTGTGGCATTTTTATTTTGTGCAGCAATACGCCCAGCGACGTGGACACGATGGTCCTTGAAGTCCGCTGTGAGCTAGATCTGCTCCCTCTGCAAACAAGCATCAAAACAATCTTCATTTCTCCCTGAAACAATCAGACATGTTGCTTTGAGTTACATTGACCTCTTGAAGCTTCTCTGTCGAATTTCAAGTCCTAAAGCGCACCTCTCATGAAAAAGAAAAAAAAAACGCGAGATGGATGAAAAACTTTTATTGGGGTCCTGAAGGATTCCACCCCCGTTTTAAAGGGGTAGGATCGCGGGCCACTCCCACATTGGGACGGGGAGGCCCAGCCTCACCGCCGCATCGTGGGCCTTCCTTGACAGCCTTGAGTTGTTGTATGAGAACCGGACTCGTGAGCATTAAATGAAAGGAGTTCTCAGAAAATTCTTCACTTTTTCTTTGTAAAGAGGGACACCTCCAGAGCATGTGGTTAAAATCACTGCGATTCTGGCAGTCTGGACAAAGTTCTGAAATATCGGAGTTATGGCTATAGGTTACGAGGCTAGGGTATGTTCCCGTCTGAAGCATGCGAAGAGAGATTGCCTGTGGCCTACACAACTTTTCGTGTGGCAATGGAAATGACCTACGGCCTAATTGATAATGCTTCGTGATCTCGTTGAAGGTAGTCAAAATCTCCCTAAAATGAAGGCTGGTGGCTGACTCCTCTGTCTGAGAAGCACAAGTCCCGGCGCGGTAAGTGAAGCCTCGCGCCTTGGAGTGGGCTAGCTCGTTTACATTGGGAAGGCCTCCAACCCTCAAGCCAAGGTGAGCAGGGAACCAAATAATTGTGTGGTGGGTGAGTTCCTTGTGAGCGAGAATTCTCAAAACTTCCTTGCAAACGCAACCAGAATCGAAGGCCCTAGCAGCGGATTTAGAGTCCGTATAAATATCAGTCCTTTGTGGATCAAGGAGTGCTAGTGCAATGGCCATCTGTTCTGCTTTGTGAGAAGAAGGGGTTCGAACCGACGCCGAGGATAAAATCTGACCCTTAGTATCTACGGATACTACCGCAAAGCGAGCGGAAACGCCATACTGGGCGGCATCAACAAAGCATGAAACAGACGATTGTTTGTGAGCTTGAACTAAAAGAGAGGAGGCTCGAGCGACACGCCTGCCCGCATTGTACTGTGGATGCATATTTCGTGGAAGGGGGCATACTTTGATGCAAGAGCGTATATAATCATCGAGTGGCGTATTTTGCACTTCGAGCGTCAGGGGGTTGACTCCAGTGTCAATCAGAATCTTTCTCCCCGCTGGTGTGATCGAAAGCCTGGCAACCTGTGCCGTTTGTTGAGCCTCGATAACTTCTTCAAGCGTGTTGTGGACTCCAAGTTTCATAAGGTTCTCAGTGCTTGTGCGCATAGGAATGCCAAGAACTTTCTTGATGCTTTTCCTTATGAGGATGTTCAATTTATTTCTTTCATGGAGTTGCCACCTGTGCATAGATGCGACATAGCTTATGTGGCTCATCAAGAATGCATGGAATAGTCTGAGGAGGTTGTGCTCTCGAAGACCACCCCGACTGTTGGAAATGCGTAAGATTAGTCGGATGACCCCTTCCGCCTTATAAGTCAGACGGTCGATCGTGCGGCCGTTCTGTCCATTAGCCTCGATAATCATGCCCAGAACGCGTATGAAGTCTACCCTTGATTACGCTGCCCCGATGCCGTGTGCAGCCTAATGTCGATGTCAGCCAGTGGTTGCCAGTTTTTGGGTTTGGGTCCCCGTCTCGTGGGTCGATATAAGAGAAATTCGAACTTTGCTGGCGAGAGCTTGAGGCCCATTTCATTTATGTAGATTTCAACACAGTCTACGGCCTCTTGAAGAGAGCTCTCCACAGAGCCCTCCGAGCCACCGACACTCCATATGGTGATGTCGTCCGCGTAGATGGCGAACTTGATGCCCTCTTGGTTTGAGAGCTTTGCAGCAAGGCCGCACATTGCAATGTTAAAAAGCAGTGGGGAGACGACTGAGCCCTGCGGGGTGCCGAAGGAACCGAGATCGTAGGGCTCAGACTTGAGATCCCCAAGCTGTATAGTGGCTTTTCTATTCCTGAGGAACGAGCTGGTGAACTTGTGAAAGTTGGCTCCTAAGTTGAGAGAAGAGATGGAGGCAAGTATGTGGGAGTGCGAGACATTGTCAAAGGCCTTTTCAAGATCCAGACCGAGAATAGCTCTAACGTCTTTTGTCTCCTGATCTATGTATGATGTGGTGCTTCAGCATTTTCATGACGTCCTGAGTAGATAGGTGTGGTCTAAAACCTACCATGTTGTACGGAAACAGGTTAGTCTTCTCTATGTGCTTTGATATTCGATCGTTGATGACATGCTCGGCGACCTTGCCTATACAGGACGTCAGTGAAATGGGTCGTAAGTTGCTAAAACTGGGACTCCGGCCAGGTTTAGGTATGAGAATAACCGACGCCCTTTTCCATTGCTCAGGGAAAGTCCCCGTCTCCCAAATAAGATTGATTTCTTTGGTGAGGTAGGTGACAGAGTCATCGTCTAAATTGCGTAGTGTCTTGTTTGTAATGTCATCCGGGCCCGGGCTGGAGTTCCCATTAAGATTGTTTAAGATGGCGCGGACCTCTTCTTCCTGGAAGGGCTTGTCCAATTCGAAGGCTGGTGATCCCGTGTATTGCGCATAGCCAGAAGGAGGCCGGGTTGTGTCCAAAGGGAGGTATCTCTGTGCCAGACACTTCGTTATTTCCGTGTCGGATTTAACCTTCCTTTCTGAGTGCAGTATTCGGTCTACCAAGCGCGTCTGGTTAGAGTTAGATTTGGTCTCCTGCAGCAGGTGTTTGAGGAGGTTCCATTTTCCCCCAACTTTCATCTGACCATCCACCTTGTTGCAAATCTCGTCCCAATGCTGTTTTTCCAGCGTCTGACAGTAAGTTGGTATTTCTTGGTTAAGACTTGCGATGCGTTTTCGCAGTCTTCGATTTATACGGTGTGCTTTCCACCTCGCTAGGAGGGCGCTTTTAGCCTCAAGAAGATGAGCAAGCCTACTATCCATTTTATTGACCGGTAGATCAGTCTCTATCGTTTTGGTGGCCGACTTGACGTCTTCGACCAGCTGAGACAGCCACTTGTCGAAATTCGGTGAGTCATTAATCTCTTCTGCGCTCTTCGCTCTGATCTTACGGAAGAGGTCCCAATCTGTAAATTTGAAAGCTTTAGGGGGTTTTGCTTGAATTTGTAATGTCGTACTCAAAATACAATGGTCACTCCCCAAGTTTTCTCCTAAGTTTAACCATGATACCTCCCCCGTGGTTGTGACAAAGGTGAGGTCTGTGGTAGTATCCCTAGAGCAAGAATTTCCAGTGCGGGTAGGAAACGTGGGGTCAGTGACCAAAGTAAGATTCAGATCCGATACCGCTTGCCAGAGTTCGGCTCCTTTGGCAGTGGTGCGAGGGTAGCCCCAAGCTTGATGGGGTGCGTTGAAATCTCCCGCTATAACTATGGGTGCGTCCACTTTCCTAGCGATCGTAACGGCTTTTGATAACAATGAGAAACGCGAGAAACACACGGGAAATAGGGCGCAAATTGTGCACGTGCTCTTTTATTCGCATTTACGACCGGTAATTTACAATTTAGCGCACGAGTACTACAGCGTAATTATAAAATGAAAATGATTCTTAGTATGCACGCTGACGTTGAAGCATTGAGTCATTGAAGAACGTTTATGACACGTGGATTTGATTGATTTGTATGAAAGTCTATGGACACGTGCACTTCAGCCCGACGGTGAATCAATCTATCCGCGAAAGATACCCGCCTTGGGCAACATTGGCACCAGCAAAATGGCCGCCTCTAGTTGCGAAATTAGGACGATCTCGCATCAACGCGTACTGAAAACGTTTGCTGCTGGAGTTGTGCGTCCGGAGCAACGATCTGAGCGGCTTGACTTCGCGATGAAAGTTTGAGCGCCAAGTGCTGCACTTGATCGCAGGGCTATCGACGCCAAGGTGTGAAAGATATTTCGCAATGGACTCCGAAGTGTCAACAACGACCGAGTCCTCACAACTAGAGCACGCCGACGAAGAGGCAGCGGCGGTCGCGGACAGCAGTAGCGCGCCGACACAGGGCGACAATGGAGCCGTCAGTTCCTCGTCAGCGAGTGACAACAACCCGGAGCCTATGCAAACGGACGGCGAAGCCACTGATGGGTCCGAGGTGTCGTCGTCCAAAACGGACTCTTCACGCGCGCCGTTCAAAATGCCGCTGATCGGACCCAGGCCCGGAAAGCAGAAAGTGCTGAAGACGGGCATCAAGCCTTTGACGCAGTGCATCGAACTGCTGACGCCTTCGTCGCCTGCAGGAAGCGGGGAACGTCAGGAGACCGCAGAGTCCGCGACGTCGAGTTCGAAATCGACACCGACGGATGTACAGTACAACGTGTGTTTGTTTACCTTTTCTCTCCTCCTGCTTGGTTGGCTATGTTACCCCTAGAAGCACCACGATCCAGTTCACACACGCAAAACGCGACTAAAGGCAAAATGGTAATGCTCGGTGCAAACTTTAAGCATGTTCGGTGCTTACATGGCGATCTCAAACTCTAGGAAATCGAGGTGGCCCTAAGTGCGTGCAACGTTGTTGATAAAGAATGTGTGCACTTTTACAGGCGCTTGAAATGCGGTTTTCAGTTGATGAGGTACGTCCAATGTGCTTGGAAGGTTGGTAGAAAAATGTGTCACATTTGCCAGCTTTGAGTGATATGCTCAGTAAACTGCACCTGTACTGACGCTGGTGCTTGTGCATTGTGCTGCACGTCACACGCAAAACCAGCAGCACTGATCGTTTTGGCAACTCTGCTAAATATAACATTTATTCGAAAATAGCTACAAGGCAGTGATGGCAAATGAAAGAGGTTAATTTCCAAACATGTATAAGCTTTCTGTAGGTTCACGACATCATTGTGTGGATAGCAGTCACTTTCAATCATGTTGCTCAAGTCTTGTGCTTCATCAGTGGGCACTTGCTTCAAAATAACTGTGCCATCTACAGTAGGTTTCATGCAGCAAGTAATATATACACTGGATCCTTGAACATCCTCTGTCGCATCCTCAAAAAACAGCATAATTTTACCTATGCCCTGTTACTTGTCATAAGTGAAGTGGGTTTGAGTGAATAGATGACTTGCAAAACTCTGCAACAAGACTTTTCTGCAAGGATTATTCTTTTTGTTTTTTCAAAACAAGCACTCATTTGCATGCTGCTTTTTTTGCTCGTGCTTGAGCTGCTCCCACTCCTATTGACATTTCATCTCCCGAGCGACAGGTTCCTCATTAACAATGTGCAAGCTAAGGGTCGGCAATTAAACAACACAATCTCATGGTGACTTTTTGAAAGGCATTTGTACTGTTCCAATACCTCCACTGGAAAAGCACAAAAAGCGAGTAAAGCAGTCTGTGAAGAAGAGGGCTTCGTTGAAAGAAAACCTTGCCGGGGCAGCTGTCTTGCAGATTCTAGCAAACAGTTCCTTCGGGACACTCGCAAGTTCCTGTAGACCTTGCTTCGCTTCCAGCAACATTTTGTTGCTATCATTTAGAATATGTTTTGCACCAGACATACTCTTCAAAACCCTTAAGCTTTGCTTTTAAGAGTTCAATGTGATAGCAATATCCTTTGCCTAGTGGGTACGTCAAACACTTAGTGCATGAAATCTTTTCAAACTTGCTATGCATTCACTGCATGCCTTAAGGGAATTGGTGCAGTAACGTGTGTTTGAAGTGGGTGACTGGCTTTAAACTATGAAGTCATTATGATGATCGCATGTTCCGACGGCCGTTTGGAATTTGCTCAATGACTTGGAACATTTTTGTCTGCTCGAAGCAGTTTTGTGCTATCTTTATTCCTTTTCCAGGAGCCTCCTTGGAGTGGTGTTCCAGATCGGGAATACAACTTCCAAGTACTCAAGGCTGGCGTCATCGTTTCAAACTTTCCGTTGGACAAACCTTACATTGTCATTGGTCGCAAGGATGATTGTGATATTGTTCTCGAGCACCCGTCTATATCGCGATACCATGCTGTGGTGCAGTTCAGGACTGGGGAGCCGGGAACATCAGGTTTGTAAGTTGTCATTCAGATTGAATAGAAGGATGCTAGCGTTTGGCCCTGTCCTTTCTGTTTCTGTTCTAGAGTTGCGCTGTTCTTTAGCAACAGTATCTCATCTTTTGTTGCATGCAAATATGTAATGGTGTCATTTTCTTCGATGTGGTCATAACCTGTCAGTGGCTAGACTAACGTACATTTTTGTTACTATTTGTGTACCAAGTGCTCAATAGATTTACACCTGCTTTGTTGAACTCTCTGTTTTGTGTCACAATGCAATTGCTACTTCAAGCTTTGTTGTTTACTGATGTATTGTATATCCTTTAATAGAACCAGCACAAAGAAATACACTTAACTCAGTACTCAGGCTGCGGTGTTGTATACTAAATTAGGTGCTTACGATGGCTTCATGGCAATGCTCAAGAGCACTGCAAGGAATGCCGCTTTATTGCATTACGCGGTGCTCATGTCTAAACATTTTTTCATCGGTTGTAGTGGCAAGTGCAAGTTATATGCAGCTAAGGGTTACGTTTGTATGTGAGAAAATACAGCAGGTTGCAAAGATGACTTTACACTAGTGACGATTTTACTAAACAAAGCGATGTGTGCGAACACATGTTTGCGCTTCAAAGGACTTGTTGCATACCGGCACAGTATAAAATCGTCGCAATGGATTTGCTTATAACAGACATTCAGATACTACATACCATTTGGAGTCATTATGCTGACCTTCCTATTTGTTTTATTGATCGAACTTCATTTACTGTGGATTTTGGTACAATAGACATTCAAATATAATTGACATCATACAGTGGACTTCTTTACCATGAATATTCGAATTTCAATAACCTTTTACTTCTTCCGGCTGGGAACAGCGTGTTGCGGATATCAACACACCGATTTAAGAATGAAGGCCACCAATTTCTGGTTCCTTAATGATCAGTTACCCCTTATTTACAGCGACAGAAAAATGACGCACATCGTGCTTGGTCTCTCGTTTTGGGGTGCTGACGCGCTAGCTGCGACCATCGCTGCTCCGAGCGGTCCCTGTGTGGTCACCTTTGGTCGCTACCAAGGCGTAGAATGCCCATCCGCTGCTTGGAGGAGCCAGCAAGTGACATAATTCATCACTTTCGACGAAGCACTGTGACATCTTCTTCGCTTTCACTTGTCCGCTGTCCCGATCGTCTTGTCCGCAGTGTTCTGAGCAAAGTTAGGCCTAGCCGCGACTTTGAGCAGAAAGCTTGGTTGCGATGTGTGTGGTGGCGGTGCCCGATGTTTCAAAGTACGTCATGCTTGATTGCGAGTGTAAAGAGTTGTCCGTAGTAGTCGCAGTGGTCTCCATTACGGGGTCAGAATTGCTGATAAGTAGCGCCTTCAAGGGGGGGTCCAGTGAAACAATGCTATTACAGTGGGTCCGAGATTGGCGTCTGCGCTGTCACACTTTCAACGAGTGTGATGCTCTATCATAATCTGATGACTAAACTTGCACGTGCAGCTGCCTTGACTAAATCGCGAGCTGTGAATTCAGAATGAATGTGAGAACATCACTAAGTAGCAAGATTTATGACGGTTGTGTTTGAAAAATACCATTTTTTTGCAACTTCTGCAATAATTTTTGTCACTTCGGCAAGTGTAGAATTTTTTTTTCAGCACTTCGACATTGTTTTCAGTGAAGATATTTTAGAAACAGATAGAAAAATGGCTACAGAAACTGAAAATGTGATTTTCAAAAAAAAATCATTTCTTTTAAAAGCCCCCATTGAGAATAAAATCCATTTATGACTCGTAATTTTCTCTGGTTATAACTGACCAATTGAGAGTTTACATAAAGTCTGTTGTAACAGCACTCGTATTGTCACGGTAATAAAATAAGTGCAAGTAACAGTGTAGCAAACAGCAGAACAGCTTCGATCGAGCAGCGCAAGTTCGTCATCGTCTTTTCAAGTTCGTCATCGTCAGCGCAAGTTCGTCATCGACCAAATCCTTTGACACGCACAAGTAATGATGACACTAGCCATGCAACAGCCAGAAACCCACTACATGCTCGTGTCATTACTCCCCCTCTCGAAAAGCAGTGACTTGATGCTTTCAAATGTATGAAGGCAAGAGGAAGTCTTCAGCGTGAGTAAAAAGGCTTCATCCTAGCCACGTGGACGATGTCCGGCTGGGCACCATGACGGGAGGACTGCACGCTGGGCTCTGCGATAACTTCTTAGTTTACATCGCTGACGCGCTGAAGAACCCGGTAAGGGCTGAAATAACCACGCAAAAGCTTCTCAGAGCGGCCGCGTTGGCGTACGGGACTCCAGAACCGTACTTTTTCTCCGGGGTGGTAGGTTACTTCTCTGTGCTGAAGGTTGTACCTATGAGCATCGTGTTGTTGCTGAGAGCAAATGCGCAAGCGAGCTAGTTGCCGAGCTTCTTCGGCGCGCTGCGTATGCTGGTCAGCATTTTCAGTGGTGGTCATAAATGCGTCAGGTAATAGCATGGCGTCTAACATCCTAGTAACTTCGCGGCCGTGAAGCAGGCGGAAAGGTGTAAATCCTGTAGTTTCTTGCACGGCGGTGTTATATTCGAAAGTTACGAAAGGGAGGACACTGTCCCAGTTCCTATGGTCTACGTCGACATACATGGAAATCATGTCTGTGATGGTCTTATTGAGCCGGTCTATTAATCCGTTAGCTTGTGGATGGTAAGCTGTCGTTCGGCGATGTACGGTACCGCTGAGTGTCATCACTTCTTCCAGTAGTTGGGCAGTGAAGGCCGTGCTTCTGTCTGTTAGAACCAGGGCTGGTGCACCATGGCGGAGGACGACAGCGTGAATGAAGAAATCCGCGATATCGCTTGCTGTACCGCACTGGAGTGCTCGTGTTTCACAATAATGGGTAAAATAGTCAGTCGCAATTATTATCCAGCGATTTCCCGCTGAAGATTTCGGAAATGGACCTAGCAAGTCCATGCCAACTTGTTGAAATGGTCCTCGAGGTGGCTCCACAAGGTGTGAAAGACCAGCAGGTTTTATGGGCGGAGTTTTACGACGCTGACAGTCTCGGCAGGTTTTCACGGGACGAAACTGTGTCCATCATTCGTTGAAAAGTCGCGGAAGCAGAGCACAGTCCAAAAGGAAGCACCTTGAATTCGAAGAGCCCGTCAGGAGTAATGAAGGCGGTCTTTTCCCGGTCACGCTCATCGACCTCAATTTGCCAGTAACCACTGCGTAGATCCATGGATGAAAAATATCGGGTGTTTCTAAGGCGGTCAAGTGAGTCGTCGATGCAAGAAAGCAGGTAAATGTCTTTCTTTGTCACGGTGTTCAGTTTGCGATAATCAATACAGAAACGCAATGTGCCGTCTTTCTTTTTCACCAACACAACCGGTGATGCCCATGGGCTTGTAGATGGCTGAATGATGTCATCAGCAAGCATTTGTTGTACTTGGTCGTGGATGGCGTCTTGTTCTCTGCGGGAAACTCGATACGCATGTTGTCGAATAGGCCTTTCGCTGGGCTCTGTTATGATTCTGTGCTTTGCGAAGGGTGTCTGTTTGATTTTGGACGTCGTGGCAAAGCAGTCACTGAAGGAAAACAGGAGGGAGCGAAGACTCTCTTGCTGTGAAGTCGACAGTGCGCAGTTCACATCAAGCTTAACCAGAGACTGCTGTCGCGAGGACCGGAAGAGAGTTGCGCGAGTGAGAAGCTGGCTTTCGAGTCTCTGATTTCTTCGAAGTAAGTGATGACACACTGCTTCATGAAGTGCTGGTATTCATAACTGAAATTTGTTAGTAGAATTTTCGCAGGCTCTTGGGTAAATTCTATGAGACCACGGGCGACGCAGTACTTGACGAGACAAGAGCACGGACACATTGCCTTCCACAACTCCGAGAGCCGTTCGGTTGATGTCACTCAGCACGTTAACCAGAACACTGGAACCAGGGCGGTACTGTCACTGAATCGTCGGATACACGCAACGCCATCATATGCGATTCACAATCGTGAGAATGTTGGTTGCGTGAAAACGTCACCAGCGATTCTCGGAGGTATATAATAGTCCTATATTCTCGAGGGAACTCTAATCCCAAGATGACCTGCCTGGAGCATTCTCGCAGTACGACGAAATTCCCGATGAAGGTCGAAGCGCCAATATGTACTCGGGCAGTGCACCTCCCAACCGGCATTACTAGACGACTACCCGCGGTACGGAGCTGCGGGCCGTTCCATGGCCTCACTACTTTTCGGAGAGCAGCCGCGAAGTCACCACTCATAACGAAGTAATCGGCGCCAGTATCCACGAGTGCGGTGGTCGAGTGATTGTCGATGGTTATAAAAATATCGGCGGAAATTGCTGCGTCACGTTCCGAAAATTTTGTGACAGAAATATCGGCGTCGTCAACTTGTCGTGGCGGAGGATGTTTTTCAGTTCGGTCAACAGCGGCCCTATCCCCAGAGGTCGCTGGCCTCAGTTTTCCTGGCGTGGGCCAGGACTTAGGGACTTGTTTCGTACACCAAAGAACATGGCGTAACGACTAGGCGAGCCGGGGCATCGAGTAGAAGGGGAGTGTGGCCGGTGGCTTTGTGCAGGAGGAAATGGCTGCTGCGCTGCTAGGTATTGCTGAACCTCGCGAGGACGCTCCCCGTTGCTGGGCCGACACGCGTTAGGGTGAAACTCCTGAAGGCCCATCCTGCGATACGCACACTGGCGGTACAGATGGCCCGCTTCGCCGCAGTGGTAGCAAAGAGGCCTGTTGTCAGAGGTGCGCCATACGTCAGATTTACGGGTTACTTCACGCGGAACGTCATACTGGAAAGTGCTCTCGTAGTTATTTGCAGGTGCGAATTGACGGGGCGATGGTGAGAAAGTAGTGGGTGGCTGGCGTCCGGTAGAAGGTTGAGGGCTCCTCAATGCTTCGATGTAAGACAGAGCAGGAGCTTCCGCACGCATTGGGAGCAATGGTTTGGTCACATTCCTGAGTTTACCGCGAATAATGTCTCCCAGAATCGTTGCACTTGGGTGAGCAGAAGTGGGACGGACTTTTTCGAGCTCCTCCCGGACCACGCTCCGCACAAGCTCGCGGAGTCCTGATAAGTCCTGTTCACAGGTGAAAGGTGACATCGCGGCAACAGAAGCTTGGCAATCGTACTGTAGAGAGCATTGCTGAAGTGCCCGTTCCATGGTAGTAGCTTCCGTCATGAACTCATCGATAGTGGTTGGGGGCTTGTGTATGAGTCCAGCAAAAAGTTGCTCCTTGACACCCCGCAGGAGGAGTCGAACTTTTTTTGTTTCATCCAACCCTGGTTCAGTGCGCTTAAACAAGCGTGACATGTCTTCGACAAACATAGCCACGTTTTTATTTGGCTTCTGAACCCGGCTCTACAGAGCCTGCTCGGCCTTTTCTTTCCTTTCGGGATTTCTGAATGCCTGGCATAGCTGTCGCTGAAATTCTTGCCAGTTGGTGATAGACGGCTCATTGTTCTCATACCAGATGCGAGCGTAGTCTTCAAGTGCGAAATAAACGTAGCGAAGCTTCTTGGTGTCGTTCCATTTGTTGGCGGCTGCGACCCGATCGAAGTAGTCTAGCCAGTCATCTACGTCATCGAATACATCACCATGAAACGGCTTCGGGGTGTGTGCTGTGTAGACGACGCTTGGGGTGAATGCGAGTTCCTCTACATTGCTCTCTTGCGTCTGACTTGCCATTGTGGTGGTCATTATTTCCGAGCTCAAGGGACAAAATTCAGGAGGTAGTCCTAGCAAGCGTCGGCTGAGGCGAAGTGCCAGGTTTTCTTCGGGAATTGTTGAAATGGTGGCAGAAGCTTGAAGCGGCTTGAGTTAAAACTAGCGAATTGGGATTGTACCCAGCATGTCCACCAGTTTGTCACGGTAATAAAATAGTGCAAGTAACAGTGTAGCAAACAGCAGAACAGCTTCGATCGAGCAGCGCAAGTTCGTCGTCGTGTTTTCTGCCGACCAAATCCTTCGACACGCACAAGTAAAGATGACACTAGCCATGCAACAGCCAGAAACCCACTACATGCTCGTGTCAGTATGTTACACACTCCTTTTACAACAGACAGAAGTCCCTGTCACCATGGAGGTCTGTTTTAAGGAGGATATACTGCAGGTGTGTATCACTGCTCACCCACTCTCACTTTTTGTCTTCCTTATTTTCTTAGGCTTCTACCTCTACGACCTCGACAGCACGCACGGAACATGTGTGAACAAGGAGCAAGTGCGAGCTCGCTCTTACAAGCGGCTCCGAGTTGGGTACATGGTCAAGTTCGGAGGCAGCTCAAGAAACTTCATACTCGAGGTGTGGAAGCAAGATTTTCTTGTGTGTCTTCTATAAGTGCTAAACACTACCAAAAAATTTACCATTTAGGGAGTATTTCTGCCAGACAACTATATTTGCCATCTACCTCGCATACTTTTCTTGTGTCATCGCCGCATTCCTGGCACTTCGCGGTCACAAACTATGTGTGAGCTACCCGTGGGACATAACATTTCTCACGGGAAAGCAGGGGGAGCTTGGTTTACAAGAAATGAAAAGGGAGCGAGCTAGGTGACTGTTATAGTTGTGCGACAGAAGGAAACCTCAAATACTTGACGTTTCTTAGAGCGTAGAACTTTAGAAGTAGAACATCAAAGCTTTGCTGTTATGTGCACAGTCTACATAAGGGAGTATGGCTGTGTTACCGTTGCTTTTGGGTAACGACAAAGCTTACCTGTTCCAGGGGCCAGATGATGATCAGGAGGACGAATCCGACCTGACGGTCACGGAGATAAAAGAACTGCGCAAGAAGCAGGAAGAGGAGGCTCGGCAGAGAGAAGCTGAAGCTAAGGCTAAAGCTGAGGCCGACAGGGCTAAAGAAGACGAAGGTGGTGTTGACTGGGGATTGGGTACGTACGCTCATATAAAAACGTGAAAATGGCAATCGGCTGCTTGAAACAGGAACATATAACGAGGCTCTAGCTTTTATCTTCTGTAGAAAGATGCTTTAGAGGCACAAAAATGCTCCTCGAAAAGTGTCGTGGCGTCAGTTTGAGTGGAACCCGGTGCAGTTTCGCAAGTTATCTATTCTAGTAAGTTTTTGTCCTCTACATTAATTTTATCAGTTGAAATGCTTATCAGCAGTATCTTTTTTATATTTCTTGGGAGCACTTTTGTCATGAAGCTGTGTACTAATATTTGGTTGTCACACAGAAATGTCCTTGCATTAAGAGAGCTGCTTATTGAGTGAATTGGAAATGGGTTTCGGTAATGTTACACTTTGAAAGGTAGCAATAAAGTAAGGCACACAGGAAAAACGAACAAAACCTGTCTAGCAACAGATGCTTGAAAGACTTCCTTTCATGTATAGTAAATTTATTGTGAACACTCACACGATTCGATGCGATGCCTGTCAATAATTGCTGTTATGGACTTGCAGGAGATGATGCGGAGGACGAAGATCCGTCGTCCGAGAACCCATTCGCACTGGCAGGCAACAACGAAGACTTGTACATAGATGACCCCAAGAAAACTCTTCGGGGTTGGTTTGAACGCGAAGGTAAGATGGCTCTCAATGGCATTCGGTACACACTGAGTGCAGTATTTGCATGGTCCTTTTTCAGAGTTTACCAGTAATTAGTATTTTCTATTTGAGCTCTTTTTTGTCTCTTTAAATAATTTTTTCTAGTCTGTGGAATGGCACGTTATTATTTTTTTTTCATAGTTTCTCTTACAGTTGTTGAGCATTAGGACTTGTGGCTTTAATGAATTGTATCTCACATGGACACATGATTAATACTTTATAAGCTTCAAAATTATGAAATAATTCAACTACTATCGTGTAATAATTTTTATAAAAGATGCGTATTTTTCTTGGGGCACTGTTATCACCCGTTTGATCACACGATATATCGTGCTGATGAAAATGAAACTAATTAGCAGTGACAATGCTGACAGTGTTTTTATCACATGGTGAGAGTGTCCCCTTGTCCCTTCAGTATATCGCTTTAGAAACCCACCCCAACAGCAACATCGTGATATTTCTTTCTTTTTTAAATTCGCAGGTTATGAGTTGCAGTACAATGTGGAAGAGAAAGGCTACAGCCACTTCGTCTGCACAGTCGAGTAAGTGCGTGTTGAAAGTTCCTTTAGCTGCAATTGAGAACGTAGATAACCATGTCCACGTCATTCTTGTGTTTTTAGTGCTTTCTTCGAGGCAGAGCAATAAGTTAAGTCATGGGATAAATACATAGTTTCAACTGCTGGCCAGAGGCTGCATTTTTTATTAGAGCATCTAATTTTTTTTACTGCTCCCTCGGGAAATTCGGAGCAATTTCTATGGAAGTTTTTCTGCCCCATTCCGAAGCAAGTCTGTTTTATTGACAGATTGAGGGTGCTCTCTGTTGCTTTGGCAGATCTAGAGCAGCTCAGCTGCCGGATTCGCTCTACAGAGCAGCTTTCTCTACGCTGTGAAAAGCAATGGATTTCACTGGGTGTTGCAATTGCCCCGCACGTGCACAGTGCAGCGCACCACGTGACCAACGAAACATGCTGCCTGAGTATACCCGCTTTTTTCTTGGGTGCCTGTGGAGGTGAAGATGATGTAAATGCGAATAATGCAGGGGGATTCTGGAACCAAATGTGTGCCAGATCTGCCAGACAAATGGTGGTATTTTGAGCGCGTAAATAGACAATTAACGAAAGACAGAGGTAGACAGACGCTCCACTCTGCCAGAGTGGAGTGCTCCGGCACTGAGTTTGTTGGCGGCTGTGGATCTGCCTTTGGAATTTACTTTTGCCAGTGCTGGACAGTAAATTGTTGGTGGGTGGACGAGTGCAGAACATTATTGTGGATGCAAACTTCATTGAGTGAATTGTTGGTGATAACATGCTACCTGTAACCACTTTCCTTTTCACATGTCCACTTGATGCTCTTTTTCCAGGCTGCCCATTGACACAGCAACTGGAGCCCCCGCCATAGCCGAGGCATCGGTCAAAGGCAAGAAGAAAGAGGCTGTCATCGCTTGTGCACTCGAGGCATGTCGGATTCTGGATCAGCACGGAGAGCTCCGGAAATCTTGTCACGGTGTGTTCTTGCACTCCGTACTTTTTTTAATCTATTTTTTCCACGGCTCTTACAAGCCTGACAAGTAACGTTAACTCGGCATATCAAGCAGCCTTTGTCACAACCCCTTGTGAGATGGGATGGGTCGGAACCGTGAAACGGTCCATTAGGCTGTCACTGAGGCCTCTTCAGCAGCTGCCCTTCTAAAGTCTTGTGAAAAAACAACGATGCGTTTTTCCATACACTAGTGGATCTCTCTAACCATAAAATGCTTTGATATTTCACTCCCCGGCTTCCCTGAATGCTTTGCTTAATTTTTGTGGAACAAAAGTTTGCGAAACAGCAGCACCTCTGTGGGCACTTTGCGGAAATCAGCTCTACATGAACACTAGTGCTAGTCTTGGAATCCTTAAATGCCTTGAATTTAGACCACTTTTAACTTTTTGTCTGCCTTAATTTCTTCTTATTTATATTATAGCTACTGCAAATAAATTGAAATAATGTCCCCAATTCTTGCCTAGCATGGTTATCTCTTGCTTCTTGTTAAAAGTGGTGTCTAACAATGCAAAATAAGCCCTAAAATTCTTTTGTTTAGACTGTTGATAACACACTTTTGAAACAGATATCTAACCTTGCATGATGGAGCATGATGAGAGATTACTGCAGATGGTGTTATCATCAATATGGTGCAATACACTACAGTGAATAGATCTATTGATTGCAGAGGCTCGCAAAAGGAAAGAGAAGAACTGGGAGGAGAATGACTTCTACGACAGCGACGAGGACACCTTCCTCGACCGGACCGGCACGATCGAGAAGAAGCGCGAGATGCGGAGGAAGATGATGAAAAAAGAGGCCACGGAGGTCGACACGTACGACACCCTGGTGAGGCATGGCTTCGCCCAGTGTGCGCCACTTTCTTTGAGAGATATCACCCGATTAATCAGTTTCTTTGTCTTAATTCTTGCATTCCCACAGATATCTCAGTCTGTGAACGTGTCTCGGCATTTGTGACTCTCATACTTCAATCATAAATTGAAGGTGATAGTGCATCCCGTGATGATGCTTCTCGAGATTCTCGGGACAAGAGTTGAATGCTGTGCAAGCTTGAAGCTGTGTCACGTGAATGTCGCTTGATTTCTTGTGCAAGAGAGGCAACTTCCACAAGAACACAATTCTTGTTGATGCCGGATGTTTCATATGCAGGTATAAGAACTATTTTTTATATCAAACAGCTATAATGTTTCCTTGAAGTATCATGAAAATGTACTCCACTGCACTTCAAATTACGTATTGTCACGTGAAAAAGACGAAGGCGACAACGTATATGCGCATCTGCACGCTTTTATGCAGAACGCAACAACGAGAAATGCGAGGAACTCTCTCGCACGCGCAGTTAATAAAAAGACCGACCCGCTGCTGTTTTCTCAGCGTCTTCAAATACGACCTCTGTCTTCACGTCGCGACACTGGTGGAGGTGCTGGGGCCTGCAACCTGATGCAAGAAAGCGTTGTTCGGGACCGTACACCCTGTCCGGAGCCTCAATATCTTGTTAAGACTCCAGTGCACCGATTCAGCCGGTGCCTACTAGGCCCAAGTCCAGAACTCTTGACGGCATCTCCTGTTACCAATGTGGCGGCCCCTTCAAGACTGCAAATGTTCCTCCGGCCCAGACGAGTCATCCTTACCAGGTAACTTTTGAGACTCCTCGTGTTCCCGAAGTCTTCCGTGGAGAACCATATGAAAATGTCGAGGACTGGCTCGACCAGTTCGAGCCGACCGCTGTGGTAAATTGTTGGAGCGTGCAAGAAAAACTTGGTCGTGCCTACTTCGCAATGGAAAATAGCGCTCGCACATGGTACGAGAACAGGGAGCCTACTTTCCAAACCTGGGACAATTTCCGCCAAAAGCTTCTTGAGAGGTTCTTGAGTGCGGACCGACGTGATCTCACACAACAGATGATTGAATCCCGCGTGCAAAAGCCGAACAAAAGTGTCGCCATGTTCGCTGAGGATATGGCCCGTCTATTTCGCCACACTGACCCTGACATGCCCGAGGCAAGGAAAGTTCGTCACCTGATGCGGGGAGTTAAGGAACCGCTTTTCGCCGGCCTTGTACGAAATCCGCCAACAACAGTGGATGAATTCATCAAAGAGGCGACTGTTATTGAGCGGGCGCTTCGGCAACGATGCCTTCACTTTGACCGCCTGCCCGACCAAACGCCTGTTGGTGCCGCCGCTCAAAATGCTGCCATTTCCGAAAACTCTTTACGGCAAATGATTAGACAAATCCTGCGGGAAGAGCTGCGGGCCCTCGGCCTTTCGTATACCGAGCCCCCAGTTGCTTCTGTTGCAGAAATCGTGCGCCAGGAACTACGGCAAGCCTTTCCATCACCGGCGCCATGACCCGAACCACGTCTACTGACCTATGCTGATGCTGTCCGCCATCATCCACCTGCCCCAGAAGAAGCACCCTTTCAGCCACGGCCCGTTACCTTGCTGTGGTGGCAGCAGGAACCTGTGCGGCGACCACCAGTACGTCGGACCGACTTGTGGCGCACTGCCGACCGTCGACCCCTTTGTTTCCACTGCGGCGAACCAGGCCACATCTCGCGCTACTGCCGTCATCAAGAAGCTCGGTTTGGAAACTTTTCTCAGCCCGCTTCATTTTATTTTGAAGACCTTCGTGACCATGGTGCTGATCACCTGCCGACCAACCAAGTGTCTTCACCAAGTCATCGCTGGTGGTCTCCCTCACCTGCACGAGGTCAGAATTCCCCGAATCGCCAAAGATAAGCTGACGGCGTCAGAAACCGCTACCCAAGCCCGTGCCAGGGAAGCTAACTGCCGCGACCTCCGGGAGCAAGTTTGCCAATCGGCGAGACGCCAAAAAGACCCCCTTGCCTCTACACAAAGACGACGTGACGACGAAGATGACGACAACCACGAGTACTAATTCCAATGAATTTGTACGTGCCGACCTCAGCGTTATTATAGACGGACACTACGTAGCAGCACTGGTTGACACTGGTGCTGACTTCTCTATTATGAGACAAGAGCTCGCCGACCGCCTAAAGAAGGTCAAGACGCCGTAGAGTGGGCCAAGCATAAGGAGTGCTGGTGGACAGCTAATGATGCCAACCGGTAAATGCCCCGCTCGGCTCGTAATCGGTGATTCAAACTTCGTCGCCACTTTTGTCATTTTACCGGACTGTTGTAAAGAGTTGATTTTGGGTATGGATTTTCTGCGAGAGTACGGTGCTGTCATCAACATTTCAGAACGTATCGTCACCTTTTCCGCCTATCCTTACGTCGACGCCACCACCGAAGAACAACTGCAACGTTTACATGTAGCCGATGATGTGATGCTCCTGCCGAGATCTTGCTGCCTTGTGTCGGTGTTACGTGAACGGCTGTGCCGTAATGAGGTGATAGCAGAGCGAATAGACGCGCTATTGCTTTTGCAAGGTGTTTCAATAGCGATAGGCGTTCTCGCACTAATTGATGGGCGGGCAGAAGTGCTCCTGACCAACTTCAGCAACGAGCGTCGTCACATCCAGAAGGGCACCGCGATTGCCTACTACGACGACGTGGACCAAGTCAGGGATTGCTTCGCTTTGCAACCGGACGACGCGGCCATCCCAGCCTCGACACCTTTGTCTGTCAACATTTGCTCAACCCTGTCATCCACGGATAAAGAGCGCCTACTAGAGCTGATACACCAGTTCAAAAATTGTTTTTCGTGTACGTCGAAAGTCAACCAAACACCACTGACCTGGCACCGAATCATCGTTGAAGAAAATACGTACGAGACCGATCCGTCAAAACCCATACCGTGTGGCTCCAAAAGATCGTGAGGAAATCGAAAAGCAAGTTCAGAAGATGCTCCAAGATGACATAATACAGCCTTCCAAGAGTCCCTGGGCATCCCCCGTGGTATTGGTTAAAAAGAAAGATGGCAGCTTGCGTTTCTGTATAGATTACCGCAAGTTAAACCAAGTAACGAAGAAAGACGTCTACCCACTGCTCCGCATAGATGACTCTCTTGATCAGCTGCGGCATGCACGCTATTTCATCGATGGACTTGCGAAGTGGCTATTGGCAAATAGAGGTCGACGAGAGAGACCGCGAGAAAACTGCTTTCGTGACGCCCGACGGTCTTTATGAATTTAAAATGCTTCTATTCGGGTTATGCTCAGCGCCAGCCACTTTTCAGTGCTTAATGGACACTGTGCTATCAGGACTAAAGTGGCAGACATGCTTGGTATATCTAGACGACGTTATCCTCTTTTCAGCTACATTCAAGGAACACCTAAGTTGATTATTCGCAGTTCTACAAGCTTTACGTTCGGCTGGCCTGACTTTAAAACCTGAGAAGTGCCACTTCGGTTTCAGCGAACTGTGCTTCTTAGGCCACGTGGTCAGCCACGAAGATGTTCGACCTGACCCGGGCAAAATTGATGCTGTCGCCAAGTTTCCCGCACCGCATGACAAAAGAGCAGTGAGACGCTTCTTAGGCCTCTGCGCTTATTACCGACGATTCATTGCCAACTTTCCGTCTATTGCGGCGCCTTTGACGTGGCTCACACGAGAGGATGTCCCCTTTCTTTGTAGTGAAAAGGAACAAACAGCGTTCAACAAATTACGCCAACACCTCCAAATACCTCCGGTTTTTGCGCACTTTGACCAGGAAGCGCCAGCAGCACTTCACACCGACGCAAGCAATGTAGGCCTGGGCGCCGTACTGATACAATGGCAAGATAACTCCGAGAAAGTGATAGCCTATGCCAGCAGAGCTCTCTCTCGCACGGAAGAGAACTACTCGACTACCGAGAGTGAGTGAGTGAGTAACAACTTTATTAATCGAAGGGGTGAGGGGTAAGGGAGGCTAAGCCACGAAGGCTGCCAGGCTGTGCTTCTCGATGACTTCTTCCGCTCGTTTCAGGACCCGTGTCTGGATGTCTATGTCGTTGCTGGAGAGAAGGGCCTCCCATTGTCCCTCGGTGGGGGGTGAGCAAAGGAGGTCGGCGGGCGGGGGATCCTCCGGGCAGCCCCAGAGGATGTGGTTCAACGAGGCAACGTTGCCGCACAGGCAGCAGCGTGGATCGATGGCACCTGGGTGCATGTATGAAAACACGAGGGGGCACGGGAAGGTGCGGGTCTGTAGGCGACGCCAGGCGCCGTGGTTTGGGCGGTTCTCAAATTTCGACCGTATCTGTACGGCCGCTCATTCAAGGTCGTCAGTGATCACCACTCGCTTTGCTGGCTCACTAGCTTGAAAGACCCATCCGGCCGTTTAGCACGCTGGAGCCTTTGGCTTCAGGAGTTTGATATGACCATTATTTATAAATCAGGGAAGAAGCACACCGACGCAGATTGTCTCTCGCGGTCACCCGTTGAGCCTGCCGCTATTAATGACGAGTCTATGGACGCCGCATTCTTGGGAGTCATCAACGCGACCACTATTTCATAAGAGCAGCGCAGTGACCCTGACCCGCTTCCGCTTATCGACTTCTTAGAAGGACGACGTGAAGACGTGCCGCGAGTTTTTGAGAGAGGAGTGCCATCTTTTTGTTTAAGGAACGACGTCCTATACAAGAAAAGCTTTTCTCCCACCGGCAGCCCATACTTGCTCGTCGTCCCTGCATCACAGCGAAAAGAAATTCTGGAAGCCTGCCATGACGAAGTCACCTCCGGTCATCTTGGTTACACTCGAACTTTGTCCCGTCTGCAAAACAGTTACTACTGGCCGAACCTACCTGCTGCTGTGAAACATCACGTCCAAACATGTACCGACTGTCAAAGACGCAAAGCACCACCCGGCAGGCCGGCAGGCCTATTACGTTCCGTTCAAGTACCAGCAAAGCCATTCGCCCAAATCGCAATGGATTTCCTGGGCCCATTCCCAACTTCTACCACAGAGAACAGATGGATCATTGTCGCCACAGATTACTTGTCTCGCTACGCAGAAACTAAAGCCATGCCGAGGGCTACAGCAGCAGAAGCGGCTCATTTCTTTATAGAAAACGTCGTCCTTCGACACGGCGCTCCAACAGGTCTCATCACCGATAGAGGAACTGCGTTCGTGGCAGAACTTTTGGAGTCGGTTCTCAGGTTCAGCGGTACAGCTCACCGGAGAACAACGGCGTACCACCCACAAACGAACGGACTAACAGAGTGGCTTAATAAGACCCTCGCAGACATGCTCTGCATGTATGTCGACACAGAACACAAGAACTGGGACGAAATCTTGCCTTATGTGACCTTCGCCTATAATACTGCCCGGCAGGAAACTACCGGAATGACGCCATTTTGTTTAATACACGGGCGCGAAGTCACTACAACGTTGGACGCTATGCTGCCGCACGAGTGTGACGACACTCACGCTGACGCCGAAGAAGCCCGACAGCTAGCCCGCGTGCGTATTTGTCACCAGCAACGCAAAGATGCGAAACGGTACGACCTACGACATAAATTGATAACCTACAAACCAGGCGACAAGGTATGGGTCTGGACCCCAATACGTCGACGCGGACTTTCAGAAAAGCTATTACGTCGATACTTCGGCCCATATCGAGTCACCCGACGATTGAACGATATCAACTACGAAGTTATTCCCGATGGTGATTGCAGTTCCAGTCGCCGAAACCGCTCACCTGAGACCGTGCATGTCATCCGGATGAAACCCTACTTGTCCAGCTAACTCTCGTTTGTCCTGTGGGTGCCGGTGCATATGTGCGTTTTTATAAGTAGAGCGCTTTGGCTGCGCATCGGGACGGTGCCATTTTTGAAGGGAGGCAAATGTCACGTGCGTCCCGCGAAAAAGACGAAAGCGCATACGCGCATCTGCACGCTTTTATGCAGAACGCAACAACGAGAAAGACGAGGAACTCTTGCGCGCGCGCGGCTAATAAAAAGACCGACCCGCTGCTGTTTTCTCAGCGTCTTCAAATACGACCTCTGTCTTCACGTCGCGACAGTATGTTAAACTCTCATTGAGGTCAACATTAGATATATCAAATGTTTCATTACATCATGTCGCTACAAGTGCACTTCTCTGACTGACCTTCATTCACTATCCTCATTCAAAATGCTAATGTCAACAGTATAGCAATGTTTTGGCAGATTCTGCCAAACCGGCTAATTGAATCTAAAGGGCACTGCAAGGAATGGAAAAAGTTACACAATCTCCCGCTAAACCGAACCTTGTGTAGATGCGAAATAGCTGGCGCTAACGCTTAACACTGGTGGCGGCATTGACACTGGTGCTCATCGCGGCATTCCGCAGGAGAGAAACCTGGGATGGCGAAAAGCACGTAATGATGGACCGATGTTTCCTACTGGAACATGCTAATCGCTGCTAATGGGCAGTGAGAGACGGAAGACTCTTACTGCACACAGAGACCCGCAGTCCGCTTTTAGTTGATGCACACACTGCGAATTTTTATTTTTCAACAATTGCATAGAAGAATTCTCCCACCGGCACCATCTTAGAGGTCAAGATCTAGTACATATATAAAGAGGTTGGCCAGTGAACGGTTGTGCAGCTCGAGTAGTCGTTTTTTTTTTTTTTTTTCAATAAAGAAACTTGCTAGCAGATGCTGCTTCCATCGGCGTTGCGAGGGGAGAGATTGGGGAGCATAGGAGAGTAGAGAAAGGGGGAGAGGACGCGCATGCACAGTAAGGGTGGTTACGCGGCACACCGCTGGACTGTGCTCGACCATAAGACGATTCACATCTAAAAACTAGCCATATTTGCGTTATAATACGAATGGTTGGTGAAGCAGGCATTCTATGCTCCAAAAAATTGATTTTGCTTTTGTGAGCTTCGCTACAGCACAGCCGTGTAATGTGGTGAAGAAGTCAACATTGGAGGGATCCAGCACTATGCAGTGAAGCATACTAACTGTGGCTGTTCTTTGTTGGAAAGGAGGCTGTGACGTCGCTTCAAAAACGCAAATGGATTGCTGGTGCACATGCTCCACAAAAAGGCATGGATGGAAAGTGATAAGTAAACTTTTATGCCTTCAGTGTGGTCTTAGAGCAATATTTCGATAAATTTTTTTTTTCTTGATATTAAGAAGCTGTCCGAAATGTCTGAGTTTACAGATATGATTCAGATATGCGCGCTTTGCATTTAAAATTATGCATCAGCGTGCCGGGTTATATCGAGATTAACTTAGAGAGTTTGCCATATCCTGGTTAGACTCTATTGGCATTGACTTCTTGCTGCTGTGCGCATTTGTGTCCACCTGCAGTTGGAGAAACTGCGGATTGTTGAAGAGCGGATTGGACAAGTGCAGGCCAAGCTGGAAGAGAGCAAGAGGGCGTGTGAGTAGCGTTTGGATATCCAGTCTGCCATCGAGACGTTGAGCTTTTTCCGCACTTGCACTGCGTCCATCTTTGTCTTTGCAGGTTGTTAATATTTGGTGCTTTACCGTGAATTGTTATCGGAAGCAATGTAGCTGTTATAGATAGTTTTAACACCCGCGCATGTATAAATGCAGAGATGGCTTCTGCTTTGTGTTGGCTTATGACTGGAGAGCTTTAAACAAGAAGCCTCAAAAATTTTGGGGATCCAAAAAAGCTGTTCCAGTGCTAATCTGTGTGCACGAAGTGCAAAATGCATCTGGGTTTTGCTCTTTCTTGAATCGGATGGGAAACCCGTTAGCAGCGCAAAAGCATTGCGTCACCATCATGTTGGCACTCGTTGAAGTAATGGTTGTCGTCTATGATCAGATTGACATGATTTCTGCATCGCCAACCACACTCTCAGTTGATAAATGTCAGCGTTGGTTATCACTTAATCACATGCATGTAAGGAAAGATTCATCAATTAAGTCACAGTTGTTTTTATTATTTGTTGTCGATTAAAAAGCTCATAACTTAAAGTGGCTAGCATTTGGATTTGCTCTTCTTATGGTGATAAAGAAAATAGATGCACTCAACTGTTGTTCACCAGCAAGTTAATTACCAGTCAGATATCGTATTAAGATTGTGGATGGTAGAGCTGGAGTTCTTAATAATTCTTCACCATAGCTTTCCCCTGTATCAGCTGCTGCATCACAGGCACAAAGCACTCAAAAGGTGAGCACAAAACTGTATTCTGAAATTCATGCCTGCTGTATGACCAAAAGCCAACACACAGAAAACTCTTAGGGTACCCAGACTATGGTTGTGTCTATTCTAAATCTCTTTATTCCACATTTAGTTATGATACGGCTTTTAATCAAGAAATTAATGTTTGCTTATTGCTTACTAATTAATTGATGTCCACCTTGTGATGTGTGTACAGCCGAGCGTGCCGAGAACGAGGCTGACGACTCGCTGGAGGCATTCATGAACGCGCTGAAGTCTCGTTCGCTGGAGGACAAGACGCAGAGGTCGAGATGGCGGCAAGAACTAGCTGGCCTGCTGCAAGAGCGGCTCAGGCTCACGCGCGTCGCCAACATCGCCAAGCCTGCCCACTTGCCACCACTCACTGGGTGAGTCAATTGATAGAGATGAAGCGAAAATGTAATGATGATCACAGTAGTAACACAGATTGGTTGTATGGTACTTTATGTACAGTATTCGTGGATTGAATTGTGTTTTTCAGTGTGATGACTTCTGTGAGCAATTTCTTGCAATAACGTCATCATGTTGTTAGGAATCTTGCCTCTAAAGACATGGGCTCTGATGCCAAAGTTTGAGTTGAAAGACTACTTAAAAGAAATCTTAATATTTTCGGCTTATTGCTCTAAATAGAAGCAAAGGTGTCGAGAACACAAAAATGAGTGCCTTAGTGCTTGGGAATGTATTGTATATATTTTAAATAGCACTACCTTAAAAAAAAGCAATTTTGGTTTCCATACTAAAGGAGTGGCTTTGTAGTGAGGTGTTGACACAAGTCTGACATTGTGGCAATACCGCAACTCGCAAAATACTTGCACCAGCTTCCTCATTTGCTGTCAGTTGCACTTACGTGTGGTTCATGTAAAAACTATGGTGAGTGTATTGTTGTGATAATTTACGTCGTGGTAGGGGTGGCGTGAAAATGCGGGGTGACGAAGATTTTAAAGTGGAAATAAAATATTTTATATTGTTATGGCATTTATTAGCTGGCACACAGCGAGTGTACACAATGGCGCCAGTAACAGGGAAGCACGGACTCTCCGCGTGAGCGGCGTTCTTTTTGGGCAGACCCACTAGAAAGCACTTGAGAGTTCGACCCATTTCAGTGTTCGGCGGCTTCTCTACAATTACCCCGGGGTTGAAGAGGGAGCCGCCTGGCGACCTAACAGCTTGTCACTACGAGCGGGTCATATTAAGCCTTCAGGCGCTCCACATTGACTATGTCGCGCCCGCTGCGGCGCATGTCCAAAGATTGTTCAATTGGCTCGATAAGATAGTTGACCGGATATGTGCACTCGATCACACGGTAGGGACCTTCATATTTCAGGAGTAGTTTGGAAGAAAGGCCAGCTACACAGGTGGGGATTGAGAGCCATACAAGGGGACCAGGAAGGAACATGGGCTCAAAAGTGGCGGAGCCATCACGAATACTCTTCTGCCGCTCTTGCTCATGCGTCGTAAAGGTCTTCGCAAGCTCGCGACACTCTTCAGCAAGCCTGGCGGTCTCGGAAATAGGTGTACACTCAGATGGATCCGGCGTGTACGGGAGTATCGTGTCGATGGTGTGTGACGGGTGCCTTCCGTACAGCAAAAAGAAAAGTGAAAAACCAGTCGTGCTCTGAGGGGCGGTGTTGTAGGCGTAGGTGACGAAGGGAAGTATGGTATCCCAATTCATGTGGTTGGCGGCGACGTACATCGACAGCATGTAGCCGAGGGTGCGGTTAAAGGGTTCGGTCAGGCCATTCGTCTGCGGGTGGTAAGCAGTAGTTTTGCGATGGACAGAATGGCACTCAGTGAGAATGGCGTCGACGACTTCTGACAAGAAGACACGGCCTCGATTGCTGAGAAGCTCCTGGGGTGGACCGTGGCGCAGTACGAATCGATGTAGTAGGAAGGACGCAACATCACGCGCAGTAGCCGCAGGGAGAGCGGCGGTTTCGGCGTATCACGTTAAATGATCTACGGCGACGATGGCCCAGCGGTTGCCAGTGGACGTCAGAGGGAGTGGTCCATACAAATCAATACCTATGCGCCCAAACGGACAGTCAGGGCAAGGTAACGGTTGCAGACCGGCTGGTGACGTGTGTGGACGGTTTGCGGCGTTGGCAAGCGAGACAGGAGCGAACGAACTGCTGGACGTAGCGGTACATCCCGCACCAGAAGTAGCGTTGTCTAATGCGATAGTAGGTTTTGAATACCCCAGAGTGCGCGCACTGTGGATCAGAATGGCAGGATTCACATATCTCCGACCGCAGACTGCAGGGTATCACGAGTAGCCACTGCCGGCCATCGGCGTCGTAATTGCGCTGGTGTAGGATGCCGTCACGAATGGCGAAATGGTGAGCTCGACGACGCAAGGCACGCGTGGATGGCGTTGCGGACGGATCAGAGAGCAAGTCGATCAGTTGGGCGATATAATTATCCTTTCGCTGTTCGGTAGCGATGATGTCAACATCAATGGCAGAAACAGCAACCGAGGATACTGAGCAGAGCACGTCAGCTTCAGGAAGAGGGGAGCGCGAGAGGGCGTCGGCGTCAGCATGCTGGCGTCCGTTGCGGTAGAGCACGTAGATGTCGTAGTCTTGTAAGTGAAGAGCCCAACGGGCGAGGCGGCCTGAGAGATCCTTCAACGATGACAGCCAGCATAGTGGATGATGGTCGGTGACAACATCGAATGGGCGACCATACAAATAAGGTCGAAACTTTGTAAGAGCCCAGACGATCGCCAGGCACTCTTTTTCCGTGACGGTGTAGTTTGTCTCGGCTCTCGTGAGCGTACGGCTTGCATATGCCACAACCTAATCAGGGAACCCGGGTTTGCGCTGCGCCAGGACAGTGCCGAGGCCTACACCACTGGCGTCCGTGTGCACCTCTGTTGGGGCCGTAGGGTCGTAGTGGCGGAGAATGGGAGGAGATGTCAACAAATGGTGGAGCTTCAAGAAGGCGTTGTCGCACTCTGACAACCACGAATTGAGGGGCCCGTTACTTCCAAGAAGCTTAGTCAGCGGTGATATAATCGTGGCGAAGTTTCGTATGAAGCGTCGGAAGTATGAGCACAGGCCCACGAAACTACGCAGTTCTTTGACGGACGCAGGTTTTGGGAATTCGGCCACGGCCCGAAGCTTGGCTGGGTCAGGAAGACTGCCATCCTTGGACACGACGTACCCTAGGATGGCGACGTACCCTAGGATGGTGAGAAAGCGGCACTTCTTCAGATTTAGTTGCAAGCCGGCATTGCTCACACATGCAAAAACTTCTTTTAGACGTTGGAGATGGGTGCAGAAATCTGGAGCGAAGACAACGTCATCGAGGTAACACAAGCACGTGTGCCATTTCAAGTTGCGCAGAACGGTGTCCATCATGCGCTCAAATGTCGCAGGTGCATTACACAGACCAAACGGCATGACGTTGAATTCGTACAAGCCGTCGGGTGTGATGAAGGCAGTCTTCGGTCGAGCGTCATCAGCCAGGGGTACTTGCCAGTGCCCCGAGCGCAGATCGAGAAAAGAAAAAAATTGGGCTCCGTGAAGGCTGTCGATTGCGTCGTCGATGCGCGGCAGTGGGTAGACATCCTTGCGAGTGATCTTATTGAGCCGTCTGTAGTCCACACAGAACCGCACATAACCATCTTTCTTCGCAACAAGAACAACAGGAGACGCCCATGGACTGTCCGAGGGCCGAATGACGTCGCGTCGGAGCATATCGTCAACCTGCTCGTTAATTTCCCGGCGTTCAGCAGGCGACACACGGTATGGACGTTGCCGTAATGGTGGATGGGCACCAGTGTCAATACGATGCGTAACAGTGGACGCGCGACCGAGAGAACTTTGCCCGACATCGAAAGAAGAACGGTATTCTTGCAACGGGTCTAGAAGCTGGGAACGCTGTACTGACGTTAGGTCGTCATTAATGTATGGGCCAAATACATCAGGAGATGATGGGTCAGAAGTACAAACAGCACTGATGGTACGCAAATCGGGACAACGCGAGTCTTCGGGTGCGTCCAGGACTTGTGCGTCGTCGACTGGTTCCACTCTGCCGAGACATTCCCCTCGAACCAAGGTAACAGTGTACGGGGATGGGTTGGTCACGAAAATAGCGGCGTCGCCCTGGGTGATTTGCACGGTCGCGAAAGGTACTAGCAACCCTCTCCTTCTGGAAGCACGGTAGGATGGCGAAATGAGTGCAATTGTGTCGGAGAGACCGGTGCAGTAGATCGATACACCCATCGTCGAGCTTGGAGGCACTATAGTATCGTCTTTTACAAGAATCTTGCTCAGTGTCGAGGGACCGTCTTCTGGCGTCAAATGCAAGAAGGGCGAGAGTTTAATTTCCGCGGCGGCACAATGAATGACAGCGTCGTTGCGGGAGAGAAAATCCCATCCCAGGATGACGTCATGAGAGCATGCAGGAATGATGATGAATTGGGCGACATACAGAACGTCCTGAACGACAACGCGAGCTGTGCAGCCTGCTGTAGGATTAATACGATGTGAGCTAGCGGTACGAAGGGACAGTCCAGAAATCGGTGTCGTCACTTTTCGAAGCAAGCGGCAAAGGTTTTCGCTCATAACTGATACCGCAGCTCCAGTGTCAATAACAGCAGATGCATGAACACCGTCCACAAGCACGTCAATGACATTAGGTGGGCGGCTCTGAGGGCTTTCACAATGCGATAGCGTCACAGTCCTTGCGTCTGGGACAGTGACGACTAGTGTTCCCGCTCATGAGCAGCTGAACTTGGCCGCATGGTGGACAGGGACCGACGTCGTGGTGACAGCGACCTTCGAGGAGACGGACCTGGGCGAGACACTGGCACAGACAGCAGTTCGTCGTTATACGGATGGCAAAGGTGGCCAGCAACAGGAGAAGAAATGAGAGCCGGCTGTACTCGAGAGCAATAGCGGGCTACGTGACCGGCGTAACCGCAAGCAAAGCAGATGGGCCGGTTGTCAGGTGTGCGCCATCGGTTTGCCGGGGTGGGTCTCGCCCGGAACAGTGGCTGGAAAGGCTGCATGGTGGGCTGAAAATGAGGCTGAGGGGTTGCGCCAACATACGCAGCCGGCATACCCGCTGCAAAGGACGAAGGTTGTGCGGCAGCTTCGGCGTAAGTCAGTGGTGCAGGCGCTTGAACGACTGGAAGCGGCCTTGCGACCACTTGGGCGTAACTTGGAGGCGCAGGGGCCAGAAGTTGTTGTGGGTTACGCAGGTGTTGTTGTTGTTACGCAGGCATGACCGCCGCTATTTCCTTCTCAGTCGCTCAGCGGAGGGTGGAAGAATAGTAGTTGCCGATTGTTGAACAGCCGGTGGGTGGGCAAAGAAAAGGAGAGAGAACTGGCGCGCGATTTCCTCACGGATGAAGGACTTTAGGTCTGCCAGCAGCGCCACCTGATCACATCTCGCCTCCAAGCCAGCAAGCCCTGCTTCTCGTGGTGCAGAGCGACGGGTCATCGAACGCTGCCGGCGGAGCTCCTCGTAGCTCTGGCACAGCGTGATGACCTCAGCTACTGTGCCTGGGTTTTTGGCTAGCAGCATCGTTAAGGCATCATCGTCAATGCCCTTCATGACGTTCCGGATCTTGTCTGATTCGGACATGCTGTCGTTGGATTTCTGGCACAGGTCCAGGACATCTTCAATGTAACTAGTGAATGATTCACCGGCCTGCTGAGCTCGTTCGCGTAAGCGCTGCTCGGCTTGCAGCTTGCGGACGGCAGGGCGGCCAAAAACGTTGGTGATAGCAGTCTTGAAATCGGACCAGGTTGCGAACTCGGACGCGTGGTTGGTGTACCACAATTTGCAACGTCCGCAAGGTAGAACACCAAGTTTGTCAACTTGCCGTCCTCGTCCCATTTGTTGGGGACGCTCACGCGCTCGTAAATGGCGAGCCAGTCCTCCACGTTAGTGCCATCAGCGCCAGTGAAGATGGGTGGATCGCGGATCCTGGGGACGCCGGGACAAGGGGGTGGCATGGGAGGAGGCGTTTGCTGAGTGGCGTCGTGGGACATGGTAGATTGCAGGGTACATGAGCGAAGTTCCAAGGGCATCGAAGGAAATCGTAGCACTCTCCACCAATTTGTTATGGCGTTTATTAGCCGGCACACAACGAGGCTACACAATGGCGACAGTAACAGCCAAGCACGGACTCTCCGCATGAGCGGGGTTCTTTTTGGGCAGACCCACTAAAAAGCACTTGAGAGTTCGACCCATTTCAGTGTTCGGCGGCTTCTCTACAATGTGCGTTGTCTGGCTACAGTGTGTCAAGAGCGGTGCTTGTGCATATCATGGAAAGGAAAAATATCCCTATTGGGGTGCCTGAAAATCGTCTCAGGACTCCTTTAAAGTTACATTGATACGACGTGACCTGTAGATTGCCGAAATGATAGCGCATCCTTTATCCTAAATTTTCAAGTTTCAATCAGGCAAGTAGCGTACATGTTACTGCATATGTTACCTTGTTTGGGTAATATGTCTTTCGATTTAGGGACCTTCGTGCATTGTTCACTAATGAGACAGAAGCCACCATCACGAAAACCTCGTTGAGATGAGGGGCATATATTCTACAGAAACATCGTCCAACAAGGAATGTTGTCGGAGCCAATGTTTCGTTGAGAATACTAATGTCTCTGTCAAGCCTCGTATTCTGAGAGTGAAGCAAGTATGCACACAGGGGCCGGACAAAAAAACAAATTCATTTGTTGAAAGAATGGCTCCAGCACCGTTATTTGTTTCGAGATTTCTCTTCTCTTGAAGCCTCCTTTTATTGAACATGTGTCAAGTTCGCACTCCACAAGTCATTCACAAAAATATCAATTGCAGTGGCTTCGGATCTAGAAAGAAGCTTTTTTTATCTTCACGGCTGGCTCACTTTTGACTTGAATTCACTTGCAGAGCATTGCTAAAGCCACTAGCCAAAGGCGAGGCGCAAGGTTCGAAGAAGGTTCTCCCAATGACAGGGTCCCTCAAGAACAGGAAAAAATTGGTAAGAAAATTTGCCTACTCATGTGCTTTTTGAAAAAGAAGTGGAACCAGGAACAGAACCTTACGTGTGCTATACAAAAAATAATTATTACCAGTCTCAAGTTTAGTTAGGCATGACGGTACATGTTATCATGCAAGCAAATAGATAACTCGCGGATTCCTACAGTGACTGGAGATATTGAATGGCAACACTGTCAGCCTGTGATATGCCATCTGGAACAGAGGTTACAGCAGTCAGTTGGCATGGGCTCTTTCAACTGATGTTTAGAATGGTGCATCTGCTACCTACACAGCTTCTTTAGCAGAAAACCACGAATAACGTACTATTCTGCCTTGTTGTGCTTCCATGTGTAGTCAACGAATATTTTTTTTATTAACCTTATAAATGGGAAGCAAGTTCTTTGGTATTTAGTGCTTTCAATACTATTTGTGCAATGCCCACTGCCGCAAGAAGAAATTGCGTGAAGCGTGGAAATGTAATTTAATGAAAAATTCACATCACAGGTCATGCCCGAGCCCGAGAGAAGAGTTGTTGCATGCTCGTCTAGTCAGGACGGTGAGGAGGAAGAGGAGGAAGACGAAGAACAAGAAGGAAATGAAGATGGAGCCAAGGCCAGCGCAGCTGCCAGAAATGATGTCGAATCCAGCAGCCACAGCACGGATGTAGTCATGGATGAGACGTCGGATGACAATGAAAGGCGACAGAGTCAAACGACAGATGAGCACGACGAGAAGGACGTGGCCAAATTCAAAGACAAGGCCCCATCTGAAGATAAGATGGAGGAAGTGGAGAAGAAGCCAGTCATCATTGGTAAGCTGAACATTTGTTGACGCGACCGCAGGCGCACTTAATGTCGTTTACAGCCATCTACTTGACAGGGTAGATGGCTGTAACACTGGTTAAATACACACTAAAGAGCAAAACGATTTTTCGTGTACCAGTAGAGTACACTATTTAAATTCGAAAACACCAATCGTACCGTGACAGGACGCTTAGTAAGTGATAAAACATGCGAAAAAAAAAGGTGGGTGGAGATGGCAGCGTCTCCACCCACCTTAGGCGTCTACTGGGTCCTGCGTAGCTTGTACCTGATAAAAATTAAGTACTTTGTCATCTGGTGGTGCCATAGGCCTGGCATAGGAAGATTCAGAAAATTTCATTGAGCCAATGTTGCAAAAACACTAAGAATACATTTTGCAGTTTGTTTCATTACACGTAGAGGTTTTGGCGTGAAATTTAAAAATGAAACTTCAACCTTGATTTTCTCCACTAATAATGAACTTATGACAGTGAGACTTATGGTGTTACATTTCTCAGAGTGCCACTGTAGCTCACTTGGTAGAGCATCAGATGCATTATCCAAAGGTAAAAGTTGATTCTTTCATCTGCTTTAAGTTTTTCATTTGTCTCTTGTTTGCTATACTGCAATCAAAACATATGTGTCAGGTCTCTTATACATTCTTTATATTAATTGTTCGTTAGTTAAGTTTCATTAGGTCGTGTCTAACAAAATAAATGAGCGCTCAATCAATCCTCCCCGCTTTCGTAAATGCAATTTATGTTCACATGCGCATTTTTGCACGCAAATAAATTGACTGTATATCGAATCCTAAATCTATAGTACCTTGCATACTTTTATTTCTGCTGCCACTGCTTCGAGTAACAGTGCGATCTCATAATGTGGACATACCTTGAAGTTCATCTTAACAAGGGGCTGTGGCATACCGGAACTAGCCTGCTTAGTTCATGACGTTCCGGTGTACATATAATATAACTTTAAATTGCCTTTCTCCAGGATGGACACATTGTTCCGTACGTGTTCAAGATTCGACACTGTCTGGTCTCGGTGTGTCTTAACAGAGGACAGTGGTGAAATGACACATGACAAATGTTTGCTTGAATAGTTTGTGCAGTTGTACTGAGAAGGAAAAAAAAAAGCTATAAACAGTGCTTGCCCACGTGACGTCACAGAATATTGCCTTCTAGGTCCAGAGAGGCCCCCCATGGTGCTGGAGTTTGTCAAGAAGACGCCTAAGATTATCCGGGGGCCTGAGAAGAAGGCAAGTTTGACGATTCTTCTTCTTCTTCTTTTTTTTTTTTTTTGAAGCTACGAAGTGTCTTAGTGTAGTCTATGCTTTTTACAGCCTTTGAAATTTCGAGTTTTTATTGATGCTCGCTTTCCCAATCATTATAAAGAACATTGTCTTATTTTTATGTAGTTACCTCATTTGAGTTTGAATGTAATTCATGCTTATTATATTACCTCAATGTCAAGTCGCTTTGTGATGCCAAAGGGCCCTTTATAGTGTGGCGTAGCGTTCGCATAAACCAACGGCGGTGGAGGTCAGCGAGGCCAGATTTATCGCGTTACGCTGATGTAAAAACTGTGCACATTGCAATCCCACTTGGGCACCGAGCTATGCTGCCTTGACGTGTGCATGTTTGAATGCATTTAGCATCACTTCGTGATGAAGAGACGCAGATGCGGTGTAGTCTGGGTAATGTCGCTGGCGTAAAAATGCAGCATGTTGCATCTCGCGTCAGTTGCAGCTGGCGTGTGCCTATGGACGCCGAATGCGTCCATGTACTACCTTGCCTCGGCTGCACATTTGCTAGTGTAGCGTTAATGTGCCAAGCGTGCACCTGCATCAACGTTATGGCGGATCATAAAGGGGCCCTTAGAACCCCACAAACCAATCGACGAACCAGTTTATCTCGATGTTGCCACGAACTTTGCAGAATATGTTCGGTCCACAAAAACATTATTGGCAAAAGAGCTCTTCTGCTTCAGTGTAGAAAAACTGTCCACCATAATTGAGACAGTGAGGTGATGTGTTGCGATTTTCATCACTTCAACACATTCAACACATGTCACTAAGCTCAATCTATACTAACAAAAATGCGAATTTCCATGCTTAATCTCCTTGACAGCACCTTCACGAGTAAGGACCAGAGCATTCTAGTTTTTCCGTTTGTAAAGCTTCCTCAAAATGAAAATCATTGCTTCAGTGAAAATCATTGCTGTCTGTTACCCACTGACACTGCATTACATTATCTATATGCAGCTGTCAAAAAGCATAGGACCCATCTTACATTCATGTCACACAGGCAGATAAAAAAAGTAATGAGAGATGTGCAATGTGATTGAAACCAGAGTGCACAAAAGGTTTTAATGTTACGGACGGAAGAAAATAACTTTGTTAAAAAAAAGCACCTACAAAATTGCTGGTGAGGGCTCAGGCCACTCAAGCGTTACGTGTGATGAGGCATTGCCTGTCCACCGCTGTCCAGGCCCGCTGGATTGCCCACAGTTGGTCGTGTAGATCTGAGCTAGCTAGAGCGCTTAGCTGTCACTCCTCGAGGAGAATTTTACGTAGCGCGAGGTGAAATACGGAAACAGGAAAGGTATAGATGAACAGGACAGAACGCTCACTGCATCACCAACAAGCCGACATTGCAACTCTTGTACACTACATTTCTCAAGGAGGTCGATTCCTGTGTTGTCCGCACTGTATATTATCCCAATCTGGGGGCATTTTTGTGAATACCTGCCATATCTGAGTGTTCATGCCTTCAGAGCTTACAGCTCGTTTCTGAGTATTGTCTGGAATTTATTTTGTTTAAGTGTTCTGGATTTTGGAAGGTTCTGGTATGCAATCTTTTTCAGTCTATTTCTTGAGATGTCTAGTTGTAGTGTGGCGGGGGTATGCTTCATGTTGTTGCTTATAGTGTGCCACTATGCCATGGTACGTGACCAATCTGTTTCTCTCGTCTTGTATTACTATTTCCTAGTGGTCGCCTCCTCCACCTACCCCATTACCTCTGCCACAGTCATGCTAATATATGCTTCAGGGTTATAATGATGATTTTAGGTAGCTGCGTACCATATTTTGGAGGGATCAGGGTTCTCTGCAGGTGCGGCATTGCAAAGAGCATTGTGTTTGGGCCGTATGGCGATTTATTGTTGGGTGTGGAAGAATGTGTTTACCTGTAGAGCCCAGAGTAATTTGTCCAACTCTTTACCGTGTGGCTACTGAAAATGATGAAGCACCACTTTTCTGGTGTCAGCATGAAAAAAGAAAGAAGAAAAAAAGATGTTTACTGTTTTTCAGTTGTGATTACCTAAATCCAGATTTGTTCTTCTGAACATGTTTACGTAACTGGTGACTACACCACAAAGTTTATTTTCACTTTTACATGCGAAGCAGCTCTTTGACTAGCCTGTGGAACGCTGTCCATCCATGTCTCCATGCCAACGTGCTGCACCGCGCTCCCCTCGCCGCAGGTGTTGGGACGGTGCCAAGTAGGTTATGCCTTCCCTCGCAGTGGTCGGTGACGTCGCTCTCCCTCGCCTGCCACGCGCTTGTCACGTGTCACCTCTCTCTTGCGTCACCCTCTTCACCACTCGCAACATGAGCGCATATCGAGTGAACGCTCTTTCGGCTAGTTTATCTGCGAGGGAGAGAATGCTGGAAAGCGAAGCTCCTTTGTCCCCTGAAACATGTGCCGAAGCAATTTGGCCTAAACCGGTCATTGCCAGCGTTGCGAGCGTTGGCAGAGCCCATCGCATTTGCAAATGGCAACATCACGCCTGCAACACCTACGAGGCGCGAGCCAGGAAAGCCGAACGCAAGCGTTGGCAGCGGAAGACCAACGACACCTACGAGGCGCGAGCCAGAAACACCGATCGCGTCCATGCGCAACCCTGCTGCTTTGCATCCCATCAGGGTTCCCATTGGGAAGATGTTAATTTTTCCTCACTGCTGGTGCTTAAAGCTATTATCATAACTTTCACATAATGACACCATAATGAGCATGCCTGTACTTTTGAAACTGGTGTGATTGACTTAATCGGTTGCAGCAACATCCTTGAATCATCGTTGCATGGTGAACTGAGTGGCTTGCTTTCTTTGCAGAATAAAGAGGGCCAGAAAAAGAAGCACTCATTTGAGAGTTCAGATGACTACGTTGGGTGGCTTCCTCCCGAAGGTAAGCTTGCCTGCATTGCCTGCAACAATTTCAGTGAGGAGAACGCGCTGGTTACAAAAATGTCGCCAAATAATAGTAGACTTAGTAATCAGACTTTGGAAATCATGATTAACTGGAATGCCTTTTTACAAGCAAGAAAGAAATATAAATGTATTCAAAATGCGAGGCCTATCGCGTGGCATGCGGCGAGACGCGGTCCAGCTAGGTGGCATAACCAGTAACATTAGTAGCACTGCAACAGCATTGCCGTAGCGCTTACTTTTCTGTCAGTGTCATAGGCATGCTGGAATTTCGGGAGAGGTGGAGAATGCAACCCTATTAAGATCATTGACATGAATTTGCAATCAAATGATGCCAGCAGTTTATCTGCGAGTTTTTGGCTAATTACTTGCACAAACTGAATAGTGCTTGTGTTGTTAAAAAAGTGAAACGATGAAAAGGACTAGTAGCAACGCTCGAAGCTGGATCGTTCACTCTATAGGCACTGTGCACTGAAGTTATCTGGAGTGACTGCATTGCCAGTATGCATATCCTAGCGAATAAAAAAAAAACAGTGCATTGAAATAAGCCCGGACAAGATCAAACGCGATGGGCACATTTCATTTTGATAACATCATTCCGCACTTTTTATGTTCTCCATAACAGCATAAGTGTTAGCTTTTCTGATGAGCATGGCTGAAACGGGCAATAATCGAGCGAGCCATTGGCATTGCACGGTGGATGCATGCAGTAACGTCATTCTGCCCGCTATGCCAGCCATCAACGGCTTGTCAAGCAGAGAGCAAACACCCTGCTCATCTGTGGTTGGGTGGAGGAGGCCTGAAAGGAGAGAGAAGGGGGGGTGGAGGGGGCTGCGTCGCTTCAGCAGCAACTTGTTAAGGGTGCAGTTGTGAGCAATACCTCGACAAATATCGGTAGGCAACTCGTACATTCTTGAGCAGGTCGTGCTTTCATTACTTCGTGTTGTTTCATTACTCTGCGTCATTACCTCGAAAACCATTTCACTTTTTGGAGCGATTGTATTCCCTCATGCGAGAGGCTTGTGAAGTTACACGAGATCAGATGTAGAAGGGTCAGCTGCTAGCCTTACTTCATATAACACTTCAGTTCGTTGCTGTCACACTAATAGCTTTGCCCTTGCAGTGAAGCCGAGTTTTTTATTGCCAAGCTTCTTGTTGCCGACGCAACGTGGGAGCTTCCATCGGCATAGTTCAGCGAGCTGAAAATCCCGTAGTATAACTCGCCATTCCTTAACCAATAGTTGAATAGTGCAAACCCGAATATTGACCAAAGCAATGTTACACTTAACGACTATTTCTTCATTTAAAACTTTCTGCACTGCTCTTCAAAACACTTCACTGATCACCCTACTCTTGCTGCGCAGGGCAATCCGGGGACGGCAAGACGCACCTCAACGCCAAGTATGGCTACTAAGCGAAGCCAGCGTGGTCAAGTCATGGCTGCTTTGTCGTCCTGCACGTCCATTTCGCATCACCACTTTTCACAAAGTTGCCAGTGTACATAAGCAGCACGAAGGAAACACCTAGTATCAAGAATAAAGACATCCTTGTTGGTCAAAAGTCTCTTGTTTTCCATCCAGCATGAAACGTCACTTTAAAAAGCCAGTGGGCACAAGGTCTGATTGCATGGCCAGGCTTGGCTGTGTAAGTGTAATTTAAAGAACACACAGCATAGAAGCACTACAAGGGCACAAAATCTAATCTTTTATCACACATCTGGAAAAGAAAAATAGACCTAGTAGCAAAACTTACAGGTGTATACAAGATTTACGATAGCATAACTTATCTAAACTGTAAAATTCGTGCTTCTGGGTACCATGCACAAGAACACTGAACACATCAACTGTGGTTTGTGTACATTGTGTTCCTGGGTGAAGCGTTCAGGAGTCACTACAACATGACTGGTGTTAACTCAGGCACATGAACAGGAAAACTACACTGCACAGCTACACCGCATGAACAGAATGATTGTGTGCATTGGTGTTTCTAGTAATGTCTAGAAAGTTCTCTTTTTTTCTCACGAGTCCAGTTTCTTCACTAGATTATTTGGAACCAAGTGCGGGACATGACCATAGTGAGAGGCTCTAGAGAATAACGGTCTATTGACTTGATACTTCACGTGCATTAGAACAATACAGCAATGGTGCGCCATTATTTCTGACTTGTCACTGGTTTAAGCAATGGCCAAACAAATACAATCCCCAGAATTGGAAAGATGAGGAGCGCAAACAATAAGAACAGTGAAAGAAATTCAATACACTGCAATCTTCATTTGAAGTTCTGGCAATATTGAATAAAACATTTAAAAAGCATGTAAAGGCAAACCTCGAAACATAATTATGCCTATCAAGTGCATTGAAAAATAACCCAGCATTGGCAATTCGACAAGGCATGTCTTGTTCAGTCAAGGTGGGGCAAAACATGATTATTTTATATGTATTGATTGATTGATATGTGGGGTTTAACATCCCTACACCACCATAAGATTATGAGAGACACCGAAGTGGAGGGCTCCAAGAATTACGACCGACGAGGGTTTTACTATGTATATTACACAGATTTAGTATAATGAATAAAGAAATCCAGTAAACTATAAAATAATAGGTCCAAATTGACAATGTGTAGACTGCCATGAAGAACTTTGTAGGTTACGTATGCACGCTAACCTCTGGATTTAATGTTGCAGGTTTGCACGGCTAATGCAGCAATGGTGGCTCTAAGGCCACCCTCATTTAACCTAATTTGGACTAATGATATGTCATTTGTCATAGCAGCACAACATAAATGGCAACATTCACTTTTACTTAGACTTCTCTCTCAACGAGGAACAAGTATTGGTGACGTTTTATCATCATTCATGAGATCACCTGTTTGTCTCGATGTTGCTAAGTCTAATGAGAGATGGTGCCGTGGCTCCACGAATACTTTGGCTTTAGGTGACAGGTGGTACTAGTAAACGCAGCATCTTCAATGTGACATACGCTCATTTGACACCCGTCGTCTCGTCCTGCTTCTTCTTACAGCTTGCTTATTCTCCCATAGTGCCGTCGGCTTTTGCTTCGGGTCATCGGGCTTGAATAACGTGGGCTATAGACAATGACGTATTGTCTTCAGTATAGATTCTTGGTTGAGGGGGTGATGGTTCGTGCTTTAAACGGCGTTTTTTATGTGCAGTTTCAAAATTGATGTATCATAGATGTAGCACTATCAAAATTGATGTATCAAAAGCATAGCCCTTTGCGTGGGAGGCTAAAACTCGCAATGTGGTAATACAGAAACTAGACACCAGCTAGTTTATGGCAAGTCAGGGTCGGCACATCCAATTGGCACCTTCAGCATGAGTTCTGCACTACTATTCGCTGTTCTAAAATGCTGCGAATTCATTCTTGCACAAAGCGTGTCTGAAGTGAAACAAGATGCCACACGCAGATGACATCATACTGTACCGCCACAATGAACACCAAGGTGCAGCAACTTCTGAAGGTGCCAGAAAATGCAAGCGAAGTGAGTAAGCATTGAAGCTACACAGTGGTTACGCAAGCACGAATGCGTACTAGCTTGAGAAGCTGAGAGCACTAGATCCCCACAACGCATATGCAAACTCATTACTGCATTCCCTAGAAGAGATCTTAAAAGGCCATTTAACAAACAGGGGGCAGTTCCTTTGAGCCCAAAAACTATCGCCAGCTTGTCAACTGGTACAGTTAATCATAAGTTGCACATTGCAAGTCATTGTTACCATTGCTCTAAGCGCCATCAGGCAGCGGTAAAGAAAACTAGTGATCATAAACAATGTGGTGGCAAGTTGATTCCGAACAATATATGCTTTCTTCACCTAACAGTGAGCAAAACTAGGACTGACCGCGAGCAGTTATGCAAGTTACCTGCAAGATGGAAGTTTTGCATTGAATGCGAGCAGAATTAAATATGAGAAAAGGTAATGTCCCAATCAGCACCATGTAGTGGAGCAAACGCACCGTGTATGCGCCTTCGGAAGAGAACAAAAAGCCCCGCGCTCTGATTGCACAAGAACCTGGGCGGCCTTTGCCATACTTGCCCTATGGCCATTTTTCGTTGTGAAAAGAAGGCACCATTCAATTTTGCATGGACTATCGCCGCATAAACAAGATTACAAGGAAAGATGTCTACCCGCTACCACGAATAGAGGATGCTCTTGACTGTTTACAAGGCGCCGAGTACTTTACATCCTTGGATCTGCATTCTGGGTATTGGCAGGTGCCAATGGCTGAATGTGATCGCCCTAAAACAGCCTTTGTAACGGCGGATGGCCTATATGAGTTTAAAGTCATGCCATTTGGGCTCTGCAACGCGCCTGCAACATTTGAGCGCATGATCGATACCATATTGCATTCCCACAAGTGGAAAACTTGCTTGTGTTACCTGGATGACATCGTAGTCTTTTCAGCTGATTTCCCGACACATCTTGGTCGTCTCCACGAGATTCTAACGTGTCTAACTTCTGCAGGCCTACAACTTAACACCAAGAAGTGCCACTTTGCAGCACGAAAACTTACCATCTTGGGACATGTCATCACAAGAGACGGTGTTCTTCCGGATCCCGACAAGCTTCGGGCTGTCGCTGACTTCCCGTTGCCCACATCACTGAAAGCCCCAAAAAGTTTCGTTGGTCTCTGCTCCTACTTTTGTCGCTTCGTGCGCAACTTCACGTCCATCATCGCACCTCTGACGAGTCTGCTTTCCAACAGAAAAGGTATATCTGCATAGTCACCTGCATGTGACGTTGCATTTCGCCAGCTGCGCCGCCTGCTGACCTCACCACCTATTCTTCGCCACTACGACCCCACTGCTGCCACAGAAATTCACGGCCCTGCCGCGGTGGTCTAGTGGCTAAGGTACTCGGCTGCTGACCCGCAGGTTGCGGGATCGAATCTCGGCTGCGGTGGTTGCATTTCCGTTGGAGGCAGAAATGTTGTAGGCCCGTGTGCTCAGATTTCGGCGCACGTTAAAGAACCCCAGGTGGTCGAAATTTCTAGAGCCCTCCACTACGGCGTCTCTCATAATCATATGGTGGCTTTGGGACGTTAAACATCACATATCAATCACAGAAATTCACACCGATGCAAGTGACGTCGGTCTTGGCGCAGTTTTGGCACAACGGAAAAGCACCCAAACCGAATACGTAGTCGCTTATGCAAGTCGCGCTCTCAAGAAGGCTGAATTTAATTACTCTGTGACAGAGAAGGAGTGTTTGGGCGTAATCTGGGCGCTCACGAAGTTTCGCTTGTATTATTACGGCCGTCCTTTCGACGTGGTCATAAACCACCACGCTCTATGTTGGCTGTTTACCTTGAAAGACCCCCTCCGGACGTCTGGAGCATTGGGCACTTCGATTGCAGGAATACGACATCCGTGTCGTATATCGTTCTGGTCACAAGCATGCGGATGCCAATGCACTTTCCCGATCGCCATTAACACCAGATGCGGCTTCTCTGTCACCCCTTTTTACCACCTTGCCACCACTCGTCACCACTGACATGCTTTCGGAGCAGCGTAAAGACCCATACCTCGCCTTGTTACTCGGCTACCTCACCGATCCGTCTGCTGTCCCTTCCACGAGAGCGCTACGCCGACAAGCAGCCCACTTTTCCATGCGAGACAACATTCTGTACCGCCGTAACTACATGCCTGGTGGTCGAAAGTGGCTCCTTGCTGTCCCTACTCATATGACTCTGACATCTGCATGAATTTCCATGCAGATCTCCAAAGTGCTCACGCAGGTGTCTTGAAAACTTAAGAAAGGCTGCGCCAACAATATTACTGGCGAGGAATGTATCGCTTTGTGCAGAAATACGTTCAGTCTTGCACCACTTGCCAACAGAACAAGACACCTTTGCGGCACCTTACTGGCATGTTACAGCCGCTCCCGTGCCCGGCTCGCCCATTCGACCGCGTGGGTATCGACCTCTACGGCCCCCTCCCATATGGTGGCTCTGGAAACCGGTGGATTATTGTCGGCGTCGATCATCTGACATGCTACGCTGAGACTGCAGCTCTACCGGCAGCGACCGCCCACGAAGTTGCACTTTCCATTCTCCGCAGCTTCATTCTACGCCATGGTGCTCCACGGGAATCGCTCAGTGATAGGAATCGAGTGTTCCTGTCGGAGGTCATCAAAGCTATCCTCGCTGAATGCAACATCATCCACCAGAAATCTACCGCATACCATCCACAGACAAATGGTCTCACTGAGCGGTTCAACCGCACACTTGGTGACATGATGAGGATGTACACCTCCTCCAACCACACTAACTGGGACGCTGCATTACCTTTTGTTACCTTCACTTATAACAACGCGACGCAAGCGACTACGGGTTTTTTCCCGTTCTTTCTGTTGTAAGGCCGCGAACTTTCCCACCCACTCGACACAATACTCCCGTACCACCCTGATGCATCTGAGTGCTCCCCGCTTTCGGATGTCGCCAGACACGCTGAAGACTGCCGTCAGTTGGCTCGGTCTCTGACAAGTGAGGCTCAAGGTATACAAAAGACTCGACATGACGACGTTCACCACATAGCTTCTACGTTTCGTGCTGGCTCCCTTGTGTGGCTTTGGGTGCCCCCGCACGTTCCTGGCCTGTCTTCTAAAACTTCTGGGCCGTTACCATGGTCGGTACCGTGTCATTGACGCGACCTCCTCAGTGAATGACATCATCGAGCCACTAACACTATCACCAGATTTGCGCCGTCGAGGACGCGAGACCGCACACGTCGACCGTCTCAAGCCCTACTACGACCCCCTCATTGTGCCTACTCCCTGAGTCGCCAGGATGGCTACTCTTCACACCAGGGGGTATTGTATTGGAGCATACGCACCAACACGTATGCGCCTTCGAAACAGAACAAAGAGCCCCGCGCTCTGATTGCACGAGAACCTGGGTCGCCTTTGCCAGACTTGCCCTACGGCCATTTTTCGTTGCGACCTCGTTGCGACTTCTCTGGTTCAATAAACATCATCACAACCAGCACAATCGGGTTAAATGCCTAAAAGAGAAAAAAAAAACATATCCAAAAGATGCAAAACAATCTATTGATGCACCTTAGTGCACTGAAAGATAGCGCCATGACGATATTGTACATGATGCTGCTTAACATGACAATTATTCAAGGCCCGTCCACTTCAACGCAATACTTCCCAAGCCTTATGAACATGTGTCCTCGTTAGTCCTCATGCACTAATGTTGATGTTGCTGGAATAAAATGCAGGATTTCTATGCTGGAACAGAGTTAAGATTAATTAGGCGTGTTAGCTCCCTCAGTGTCGACAATTGATGCCACGCTGCTAGAATGACGGACATCACTTCGATTCCCAGCCACAGTGACGGTATTTCTATAGTAGTGTAACGCAAAAACAACACATAGTACTTGGATTTAAGTGCATGTTAAATAACTTCAGGTGGTCAAAATTAATACAGAGTAGCTGACTACAGAGTGTTTGATAATCACATCATGACTTTAACATACAAAACTCCAAAAATTACCGTTTTTCTGGGCTATGCAAAGACGGCGGCAGAAGGCAGTATAAGTGCAGAATTTGTTGGGACCTTCTTTCTAAGTTGCGACAGCGATATTAGGGCATAGCTGATCTTATTTCAAAATTCAAAATCAAAACTTGGGGATCCTTAAGCTTTGCTTTTTAGAGTTGAATGCGGTAGTGATATATCCTGTCTCTAGTGCGTAGACTTCAAACACTAAATACATGCTTTTTATTGTATTATGTTACTTGAGAAGTTTAAATAGTAGTGGATTTTGAGCCCTACGGCATAAATACGTCACATTGTCGACTACTACAACGTAATAGATAAAGTTGAAAGTGGCTTGTGCCAATAAAGCTTTCCCACATAGCTGCATTCTGTGTAATGGGTAGCATGCCTTAAACCACGAGCTATCATGGAATGTCGGAAATGTCAGAAAGTTTGAAATGTTTTCAAACTTTCTATGCACCCACTGTGTGGTCATAATACGCGTAGTAACGTGTGCACCATTTGTAATAGGTGGCCAGCTTTAAACCACAAAGTCCTTATGATACTCATCTATTTGACACCCAATGGCAATGTACGCTTGTGCACGCAATATTACTGCGATATTAGATCTTGTAATGCGAAGCCTGCATAGAGGATGCGTGTGCTTCTAAAATATTAGCTATAACACTGCATTTCCAAACACATACGTGGCTGTGTGGTAGAACAACTGCTTGCCACCCAAACGGCCTGGGATCGATCCTCATTCAGACCAAGAAATTTTTATCCTTTATTTTATTGCCAACTTTATCGATTTTTCAGTCACGGAATAAGATTTCTTGCTCCCAACCAACAACGCCGAAATTTCTGCCAAACAAGCTCTTTAATGCTATCCCATTAAATGTTACATGCTCAGCTACAGTGAAAACAAGCAATGTTCTTCTTGCAACCGCCGATGAATCCAGCACACAGTATGACCTCACCTCTGCCTGGTTGTGTGTTCTCACGAGCATTACAAGGACAGAGCACTGACAGTATCGACGATTTTCCCACCTTGTTAACCCACATGTGCAAACCCATGGGCACTTTGCTAGACACTTGTTGCAGTCTATCATCAATGACTTCAGCATCTACCATAACACCTCTGCCCTCGAGACTTGGGCAGGGAACCTTGGCCAGTGTCCAACTTCCATGATCAACTAAGGCTAATTGTGAGCGCCCAGGATGGTACTTGAGCTCAAGGCGTCCTAAACTAAGGAGGCTTCTTCTTGGCTATTTCGTAAATATAGGTGTTTATTCTCTCTTCTGCCCACATGAAACCGGCTCATCTTGAATGTTAACAACTCGTCCTTGCAGCAATCGTTTGAGACTTCTCCTTTTCAGATCAGCAATGCACCCATCGATGAACCTTTCTTCTAGCGATTCACAACAAAACTCATCTCTACAAGAGCCCCTTCTCTTCACCTTGGGATTGTTATGTCTTACCCGTTATTTGGCATCAAGGCAGCTCTGCACTCGGATACTTCTACAGCCAATCGGCAAAGCTGTTTTTAGTTCTGCGAGAAACCATATCACAATAACGTATCGTAGGAGGCTTGCCGAAAATTTTCGTTCAGATTCCCCTCCAAACCTTCACCACATTCACAGGCATTGGACAAAGCCTTGGCTAGCTCCAACCTCACTGAGCAGCCAAGGCTCGTCGCAATGGCTCAGGACGTATCGCAAACTGAAGGCACCCTGGGTTAAGGGTGCCCCTCCTTAGCCACATTGTAAATAAAGATGTTTATTCTCTTTCTTTCGTTTACATGAGGCATTCAGAAATGGTGAAAAGCAGCCACAGGAAACGAAATCGGAGAACATGTAGTTACTCGGACCACACTGCTACTGCACACATGTCTTAAGTATGAGAGTGTCACGATTTGCGAATGTCTCAGATCTCTAATATCTTGCATGCATCGCATGCATTTACATTGATATAACGTTCATCAGGGTAACAAAACCTCTATTTGCAAGCATAGCAACGGTCTCCTTTTTTCCCACTCAGCGCAGCATTTTGTTTATAAGTGCAGAGTGAAAATGCCGGGCTAAGTAGAAATTTTGCTCCATAACTCAAATGCCAACAGACTAAAAATGTAATACTATCTTCCGTGTCATGGCCACACTTTACACAGAAACGCTTGTGAGAACATTAACACTGGGAAATTTGCACACAGCACACTACAGAAAGAATGCGATAAACAAGACGAAATCTACTGTGACTTCAAACACACTCCAAATGCTTTTATAAAACTTCCACGACCGCTAGCCGAAGTCCATTCTAACAGATCTTTCAGCTAATTCATCATCGGTCTATTTTTATCTCCGCCAACTGCTGATGCACTGAAGAGTGTGAGTGCAGGGTATGAAAAACAGCTAAAAACTTGAAAAAACTTTGACACTACACCACATTGCGACATAAAAAAGTAGCAGTGAGTAACTTCTCGAAGACGCAACGAGCTTTACCCGACTTTCCGCTGAGGCACGCATGTACACACACTGGTGTTGAGCGGCTGAATGTCTTTTTTCTGCCATTGGCAACGCTCTTGACATTCTTCAAAGGCAAAACTTTTCTGATTTACCTACAAAAGCTGATATGAATTTCATGTCTTACTGCAGAGCACACTGGAAACAAGGGAAATGCACAACATAATAGGGTAATGTGTTTCTTGGCTATGATGTGTGCTTCCATGAGTAATCGCGGTTAACTGGGTGACCCACCGGTACGTCCTAAGCAGTATCTATGAGGAACTGCAGGTGCCCTTGCACCTCGGCCTGATGATTGCAGTAGATGCCTTTATTTTTTCATTGTTAGACAATATAAGAGTTTTGTACACCGACAGAAAACATGTGCAACTTTATTGCAAGTTTGTGCCAGCATAGTCAATTCCTTGCTAACGAGTATTGTTGACCTAAAGCGCAGTGAGTCTCGTTATGTGTTAATACCTTCTGAGTGTATAGCTGAAACTGCTTTCATTCCGGTCATTTTCTTTTGTTCTTACTCAAGCTTCCTTAACCTACAGCTTGGTGTAATCACATTTAAATACTTGAAAATCGTATTGTAAACGTCTACCGCTGTAATAAATCCCTGTAACAGCCTGAAGATAGCAATGTACGAGGCTACAGCATGCACTGAAACATGCGTAGATACAGTGGACTGTGAACTATGGCCAATGCCTCAAAAGACAAAGACTGAATCCACGCACAATGAGTCGCCATTATGAAACTAGTACCAGCTACGACACACACAGTGGACTGGCCACCCCCTTTCCTTGAAAAGCAAGCCCGCCTCTTTCAATAAAACCTTAATGTGCTGGCTCAATATGAGCATACCATCACAACATTTTTCACACCACTTTAAAACACAATGAAAAAAAAAAATGCCATGCAATTCACACACTACCACTTGAAAGACATGTCCGACCCCACACAGTTCCTTCAGAAAAACTTCAGTCTTAGTCTCTCGCACTTTGATCCACACCGCTTCCGACACACTCCCACACAGTCCGTCCACTTTCACTCACAAAGGCTTGTATGCACAGGTGAGTTCAAAGCCAACATTGCAGGTGCAGTGTGCAGTTTCTCACACTTTGGCTTTTGCAGATGAGGCCACAGCTGGACGCAGTGTCTTTAGCCACCGCAAGCCATCGGCCATGCAACCTTTCAGCAATGCCCGTTGCGGGAAGGCTTCTTTGCAGCATCTAATAATGCCCTTCAACGATGCACACGGTCACACAGGATAGTTTCATTGCGTCACAGGCACCGTTGCTCCACCACCGCTCTGTCATTTCTTACACAACAGGCTAGTGCGACGGCTACGTAAGCACTGCTCGACTCGGTCACTACAAGCCTTTTACACTTTACGCCTTCTGTTCAAAACCACACTACGAAACCCTCTCCTGCGAGCTTGCGAGACAAGGGCAGTCTGCCTGCAGACATGTGCTTTAAACCAAGTATTACGACCCACCAATACCAAACCTTTGTTAGCCTTTCATAGCCGATCCTCTATATAGCAGCACCCAGACACTCGCAGCTACTTCCAAGTCCGTCACGAAATTCAGCCTCTTTGGCGAGCTAAAAGTCTTACACGCTTGGAGTCAGCCGGCTACCTTTTCTTTTCCAGCACCGTTCCTTCAGATCGCCCCCTTTCCACTTCCGTTGTGTGCGTCATAAGCATGAACCCAATCCCCCAACCCTCTGCGTATGAACGCTTCTCCGTCTCATACTCCCCTCCCACCTACCCTCCCCTTCCCAGTCACCCCCTCCTTTGCCACGGCCTCACTCGTGCTTTTTGACCCCGTTGGAGCCATTCATGTCGGAGAACGTGACATCCGAGATGGGTTTGATCACGTCGCCAGAGCCGTCGAGTACGGGCATGGCAGCCCCTTTCCTCTTGATGCGGGCGTAGGGACCGATGTCGGGGTCCATGATAAAGTCGTACAGGACCTTGACCCAAGAGTTGTGCTGGGGCAGGTCGTCGTAAAACTCTGCGGCGATCTTTTTAACCTGGAAGAAAATGGGAAGATTGTGTGATGCAGAGACGTGATCAAAATCTGATTACAAAAGCTAAACTAGATTGAAGCCCAAGAAAAAAGAAAAAAAAATATATGTAGTGTTGGCATAGTTTCACAGTGGCTTCACCACTGTAAAACCTTGGTAAGTGTGTAGGACGTCCCACTACTCTATTTACCAAACTGCCAATGACATTCATGTTTGAAGAACGTGTGCATGGTTTCTCTGGCATGTTGAAAATTCTGGTAGGAAGATTCAGAAACTTGGTGTGCGACATGTGCACTATTTTTTGCTGCGCTTTATCAACTTCCTGCTTGTTAGAGCAGCAGAGATATATAAGGTCTCCAACGAGTTCCGTCAGGTTGTTTCATCTTTCAGATGTAGCACCAGAACTGGAAGGAGCAATCAAGTGCTTGGCAAGGCAGTGGTGCCCTCTCCTGTGTGGTGCAGAAGTCATCTGCATCTTTCCGAAGTATTTCTGGCAATTTTTACTTAAGTATTGCGATTAGCTGAAAGTAATTTCTGTTAGTTACATACATAGGTCCCCCTGCCCCCTTGTGAACACGCATGTGGTTATATATATTTATATCTTGATAGTTTATTTGAACCCAGTTTTGAGCATTGCCAGCCTTGTTTTAGGCCTGTATTGAGCACTTGAGCACAATCAGGTATTGAGCACAATCAGGTAATAGAGAAATGCTCAGAGTATAACCAACCACTATACATAGCCTTCATAGATTACGAGAAGGCGTTTGATTCAGTAGAAATATCAGCCGTCATGCAGACACTGTGGAATCAGGGCGTAGATGAAGTATATATAAACATTCTGGAAGAAATCTACAGGGGATCAACTGCTACCATAGTGCTTCATAAAGAAAGCAACAGAATACCAATCAAGAAGGGTGTAAGGCAGGGGGACACAATCTCCCCAATGCTATTTACCGCGTGCTTACAGGAGGTTTTCAGAAGCCTAGAATGGGAACAGTTAGGGATAAGAGTTAATGGAGAATGACTTAGTAACTTGCGCTTCGCCGATGACATCGCATTGCTGAGTAACTCAGGGGACGAATTGCAACTCATGATTACGGAGTTAGACAAGGAGAGCAGAAAGGTGGGTCTCAAAATTAATCTGCAGAAAACGAAAGTAATGTACAACAACCTCGGAAAGGAGCAGCGCTTCGAGATAGGTAATAGTGCACTTGAAGTTGTAAAAGACTATGTCTACTTAGGGGAGGTAATAACCGCAGAGCCGAACCACGAGATTGAAGTAACTAGAAGAATAAGAATGGGGTGGAGCACATTCGGCAAGCACTCTCAAATTATGACAGGTAGATTGCCACTATCCCTCAAGAGGAAGGTATATAACAGCTGTATCTTGCCGGTACTTAGCTACGGAGCAGAAACTTGGAGACTTACAAAGAGGGTTCAGCTTAAATTGAGGACGACGCAGCGAGCAATGGAAAGAAAAATGGTAGGTGTAACCTTAAGAGACAAGAAGAGAGCAGAGTGGATTAGGGGACAAACGGGGGTTAAAGATATCATAGTTGAAATAAAGAAGAGGAAATGGACATGGGCCGGGCATGTAGCGCGTAGACAGGATAACCGCTGGTCATTAAGGGTAACTAACTGGATTCCCAGAGAAGGGAAGCGGGTTAGGGGGAGACAGAAGGTTAGGTGGGCAGATGAGATTAAAAAGTTTGCGGGTATAAATTGGCAGCAGCAAGCACAGGACCGGGTTAACTGGCGGAACATGGGAGAGGCCTTTGTCCTGCAGTGGACGTAGTCAGGCTGATGATGATGATGAGCACTTGATTGAGAGTGTTATAATTCCATGTGAAATCTATAGACGAGAAGCTGGGCCCCTAGAGTGCTTTGCACTTAAAAACGGGACAGAGTGCTTACTAGCCACAGAAAGTTTACTACTCGGTGGAGCTGTTTAAAACCGAGGTAGATCCCTGGGATCCGTACTTTCTAGCGCAACTGCAAGAGTGAAGCCTAATGAGGGGGAGAGCATGGGTAAAGGTAAAGTGTAGTGAGCTGAGCCTGATGAAAGACAGCGGCGTGTGAGACTGGGTAGATAGGAGGCGGGCAAAGGCGAAGCTATGGTGGGAGCAGAGCGGGTAGTGTGGCGACAAGGAGAATGAGGACAAAGTAGCGCGACTGGTCGTGCTGGTGAAAATAACTGACCAATGGTAGCACATGCTTGAGCACAGGTGTTGATGGTGAGGGAGAAGGGTACAACAAGCATTGGCGAAAGCAGAGGAGAGGCATGCTGGTGCTACCAGCAGTACGCTTGAATCACATATTTTATATTTCGACAGAAACATTCTTATACATGTGTGGAACTATAGAATAAATGTTAGTCACTATAAAGCAGAGCATAATTCAATGAATAACAACAAAAAAGAAACAATTACATAAAACCTTGAGAATTGGAACTTTTGAAAATTAAGACTACTCAATCATATGACAAAAAAATATGCAAACAAGGAATTGTACGGCATTACACACGAGTGGCTGACATGTTATATATTCCAGTTGCACATCTCTAATCACTAACTTATACAAACATGCCCAAATGGCAGTCATCAGTAAAAACAAAAATCTTGTGGCCACACACTCTGTGCACTCACCAGTGGCAACTTGGAGCCCGGCACGGCGGGGAAGTCGTGGTGCTCCATGTGGTAGCCGACATTGAAGGTGAGCCAGTTGAGGCAGCCGTAGTAGGAGTACGTCTCGAAGCCCTTCTTGAACATGTAGTGCTCGGAAATAAAATGGCCGGCCACCGGGTGCAGGCCCATGGCCAGCAGGGACCCACCAATCATGTAGAAGAGAACTTTGCCTCCTGCACATTGTGAGAGGGCCTCAGCAGAGGGCCGAGTTTGCTTCAATAAAAAATATGGAACCTTTCACAGGCTGTTGATGTATTCTTACAAACTGATTGAATCTTAGCTTTTATATTTAACAAGGATGCTTAATCAAGGGAAAGTTATATTAACATTCAATAGTGAACCACGAAAAGCACGTCGATGTGCGATCATTTAGACATATTTCCCGAATTTGCACAAACTTGTTTGCTAATCCTCGTCTTTCTTTAATGCAACACTGCACAGCTGTGGTTCGACAGCCATCTCAGTGTAAGCCGACACGTTCCGGAATACATGCACCTATGGCTTAACAAAAGACTTTTGGCGCCAACACAAATCAAGAAAAAACATCAAGGCAAGATAGCATGATGCCAACCTCCTTTTCAAACAATGTCCAATGACCCTTGCATGGCTTACAGCACAAGCGATGATGCTAACTAGGGTGGTGCTGGGTTGAAACAGAAATGGAAAACACAAAAGGGACAAAAAATAGTATGCACTACTTTGCCTGAAGAAAGGTCTGGCGCTCAATCCTGTCTTCCTCTTCTCGTTTCCTTAGTTTTCAGGTTTGACCACTTCATGTACGCGACGCACCAACTTCCCCAACATTGCTAAAGCACGTCGGGCTACAAGCGAGAGTGATGAACTACATCGTTTGCCGGCTTTACAGACAATGTGCCTGGGTGCGATATAACGAGGAATACTGTTCGAGCTCTGCTCACCAAAGACACCCAACATGCAGTACACTCTGCGAAAAGTTGTTGAGCTCACCGCAGAAATAGTAGACGAGGCAGTCGAACGAGATCTGAATCACGCTGTTGAGCACCTCCAGACCAGTGACAGGCTTGGGAAAGGCAAACACAGGCCTGAGCGCGTAGAAGAGTGGCTGTAGAATCACCCAGAGCAGCTTCGTGCCTGTGTGGCAGAAAAGCTTGGCCTCCAGCTCGGTGGGGAGGTCGGCGTCGATTGTGTCGATGCCCTGTGCACAGACAGAAAGACGAAAGTATATGTAAGTAGAGGACATAGAAGATGAAGTTACACATGATTGATTGATTGATTTGTGGAGTTTAACGTCCCAAAACCAGCATATGATTATGAGAGATGCCGTAGTGGAGGGCTCCGGGAATTTCGACCACCTGGGGTTCTTTAACGTGCACCCAAATCTGAGTACACGGGCCTCCAACATTTCCACCTCCGTCGGAGTTACGCATGGCGGATGACAGACGAGTTACCGCACACCCTTGTGTAACGGCCGCACTTTTTTTTTTTCCGCGATGTTAATGAGGCGGGGCCCTTCCACGAAAGTGTGAAATTTGTGTTCAATTTTTTATCCATATACAAAAAACCTATTTAAATGTGCCATATAGACCCCACGATGAGACATCTGGTGTCTTACAGTAGACATCCTCACTAGATGTCTTCATCGGTATGTGCCTTATAAGAAATGCGCCGTATGGGATATGCCACGATGCGAACATTTGCTGGAGAGAATTTTTTTCTCAAAATTTGTTCTGTTAAGTTGGGGGGAGCGGCCCTTACACGAGCAAAGCCCTTAGCCGAGTGTATACGGTATGTTTGCACGCTACAGATGCTTGTATACCGTGGCTGTACTTTTATGATGCAAGCAACATCGATGGCTACCGACCATGATGTCAGTAAAAACAGCCTTAGTGAGTGGCTGGTTGTAACCTGCATGTCAATGTGCCGTAGCTTCCGTAACACAGCAGGAAGTGCACAGCCACTTCCTTTTTGTGTATGATTTGATGCCAATGTACAGAAACGTGACTTTGATAAATCAGGTGACAATATGTGTTCCAGTAAGTGTGCTGTAGATGGAGAGTCTGCCACATGCCAGATGAATAGGCCAATCTTGTAAACACACCGTGCCATGACGAATTGCTTTCCTGCTGTGCTATAAGGGGCAGCTCCAGAATTTTCCGCCGTGGAGGCACCCATTAGTCCAGCCACTGTGGGCAGGAGGATATTTTCGGGGATAGTGAATGCCTCCCATGCATCCCCTGGTGCTGCTGCTTAATCCTATGCACATTAAACCCAGCCAGGGTTCTCCCCGCTGGTGGTCACGGTGGTTTCGCCACCCACTACTCAAGCAGATCAGCCATCGTTTCGACTACCCACCCACCACCGCCCACTTCTTCGAATTCAAGTTTACAGTACCTGAGAAAAACCTTCTGTTGCCACAGAGTACAGCTGACATGATTTTCAGACTCTGTAGGCCTCTGAAATATCGCCCGAGGTGTCGAATAGTATGAAAAAGACTAATGCATTCTTTGGATTGACACAGTATACAAGCCACTGCAGCGCATTCACCACTACATTAGGCTTTATGTAGAATGCATAAAAGATTCATCATTACAAAGTTTGAACGATTAATTTATTTCAAGCGGGTATAAGTTGCCGCTGTTTTACTGCCAGACACTGTGGGCGCTAACCTGCATAATTGTGTCTTGTGACAGTGGCCCCCTTCCAGTGCTTCCGTGCGTAGCAAACCTGCATTGCGGCAAAACCGACTTTTGGGAACTGCTGAAAAAGCGAAATAGCACACGAGAGCGCCGACTCTAAGCTGAAATATACCTCATACGGCAGCGGCTGTGAATTCAAATAATGCACTCTCATGTCCTGCAATTAGAGCAAAAAGCGCGAAAAGCCACGTATACCAAAAAGCTTCAGTGGAAATTTCAGACGTGCCGCGCGTTGTCATAGCGACGGGCATGCGCCGTGTCGGTTCGTCCTCCTCCCCCTTGAACCCCTCTCCATCGCTTGAAGATAGGCGCGAGCCAGCGGCCACGAGCCCTCAAATATTGACACATGACCCCAGCGCTGACGATATGATCATGAGGGACGCCATAGTGGAGGGCTCCAAGAATTTCGAACATCTGGCATCCTTCAATGTGCACCGACGTCGCACAGTGCGCGGGCCTCTAGCATTCCGCCCCCATCGAAATGCATCTGCCGCGGCCGAGATCGAACGCGCGACCTTCGGTTCAACCGCCGAGCCGGCGATACGAAGACATGACCTCCGAGACTGCGCGCGACACCTGCCGGCACGCAATATTGGAGGCCATGACCAGCGTCGCTGGACGAAAGAGCGCGCGCTTTTTCATCCAGCGGCCGTGCCATGACGAAGATAACTGCTTGCCGTGCGGCGGCGACCCACTCGTGGGACAAGTTACGGTCCCTAGACGAAAGTTGTTTCATCTAGGAACCCTAGGGACAGTGCGTGTGCTTTCTTCAGGGTGTTGCCATTCTTTTGAAGGGGCTGATGCCGCCGGGACACCATTTTTTTTGTCCTCCCCCCACACCTCTCAGCGGAGCCGTCATAGCGGTGAGATGCCGTAAAGACGCCATGGGCTCAAACATGACAGCCGCGCAGCAGTAGACGCTGCAGATGTCCTCACCCAGCAAACCGCACACCAACACACCCTAGGACACGGTAGGACACTGCAGCGTGCCTCGATGCCAGCGCTCTGGCATAGACTACCCAAGGACATCGCCGCGCAGCATGCTTTCCACAGCAGCTTCTTGGCTTAAGCTTAACGCGCCCGGTTTAACAGCGCTCAATCATGGCATTTATTTCACAATTGCTCAAGCCACCCACAAGTTTCCTTGATTCTGGACACTTAAGCGCCACATGCGACATACCCTCGCTGCCTTTCCTTTTACACATATCAGGCAACTGAAGGCGGCACAGCCGTTTCCGCGTGTCCTTAAAAGCTAGTGGGACACGATTGCAAAGGGCAAAAAATATGTTTTATTCCATTAAATTTTATTTGCGCAAGGGCATTTAAGGAAAAAGATATGCCATTTCAGGAATCTGAAAATAAAACAAATGCTGTGCAGGGGGCGCATTTATCAAATATACAAAAGTGCAGTACGTCTAAAATGAACGTCACTCTATTACAAGGCCTTCAATTCGGTGGTTGGAGTCTCCCATGCTAAATGAGTAAACAAGGTGCGAAACCCTCACTGCCCAAGTTCTCGCTTGCGGAAGAACTGCGAGGGCCCAGACATACTTTTTTTTTTGCAACAGGCGGTAACCTTACACGTGAGACCCGCAAGGGAAAAAAAAAACAACGTGAAATCAAAGCGAAAACAAGCGGGAAGGCAGAGAGCCTCACCTGGTACCTGTGGTGCTCCAAGTGGTACTTCCGGAACGATATCGAGGCCGGTATACCGACTGGCAGGTTTGTGAACATGCCGAACAGCCGGTTGGGCAGCCCCTTGCCCTGGCCGAACGCCTGGTTGTGCGCGATCTCGTGAATGCCCAGCATGAGCGCGTGGTTGATGACGCCGCCGAAGCAGTAGGCGAGCACGACGATGGTGAACCACGAGGCGTCGCGCAGAAGCCAGAACATGATCAGCTGGAGTGTGACCATGCCCACAATCTGCCACTTGAACCACGGATCCGTCACCATGAGCTCCTTGATCTGGGGGTACTTTTCTGCGACGCGGTTAAGAAGGAGAGGGTAGACATAAGTTCCGTAACCGAGAAATCTTTATTAATGCGAAGGCCTTAAAGGGGCCCTGAAACACTTTTTCAAGAAACCATGGAACGAATTCACTGGAAGAGCTTATTGCCTCACGAATTCAACGCGGCAAAAAGTTTTAGGAACCCGTCCAGTGCGAGTGGAGTTACGGAGGTTTGTCGCAAGCTGCAGTTGCATTCACCCTTCTCTCGTCCCGACGAAAGCGCTGGAAGCTGAGCAGGGAGGGATTGCAGGCCCACAGAAAAACGTCACGCACGCTTCCCGACCTTGAGCACTTTTTTTCTTTTCTTTTCTTCGAATGCGCGGCTTTTTCAGTGTGATTACGCACGCAGGCGCGGAAGTAGCGGCCTCCCGCGGCGATCTCCTTCGAGAGAGCGCACCATGTTCGAATCAGCCAATGGCTGATAAATGGGTCGTTGACGTGTGATTTTTGAGCATATTAACGTGATTTGTCGAGAGACGAGAAAGCAATTTTTAGCTGACTTTGATAATTTATTGTGGATTCCAGGCCGCGTGCTGTGCTATAACATTTGGCTCGCGTGTTCTCTGGAGTCTCTACTACCGATCGGCAGCGTTTTACGACCATGCTCAAAAAATTGCCCGCAGCTTCTTTCGGGGGAACACTGAGGAGGATGCGGACCATATAATTGGTTAACGGGGTGTTAAAGTGCGACTTACTTGGGTCGATGGCTAAATTGGTTAACGTGGTTGTGAAATGGGGTGTTAAATTGCGACTTACTTGGGTCGATGGCTAAATTGGTTAACGTGGTTGTAGGAGGGGGTGTTAAATGAGTGAACACGTACACACGTATGCGAAAGGGCGGCGCTGGTCGAAGGGACGTCGATCATTGTGTTTGTGGATTCGTTGGAATTCATTTCACCGCGACCTTGGACGTCGACGCGCCGTACAAACCAACCGACGAGCGGCAACTGAGCGAGCGAGCGCCGACCTTGAGTATATATACAGCACGACGGCGCATGCACTGTCAGCTGTTGAATGTTCTCGAAGCGCGACGCCACATGCGCGTCCACTGGAAAATCAGGAGAATTGTAGATGTCGAACGCGGTGTGTAGAGGAGGAAGGGTGCACAGATGGTGGAGGAGTGAAGCGCGCGCGGTGTGTAGAGGAGGAAGGGATGCACAGATGGTGGAAGAGTGGGCGACGGCGCGACGGCGCATGCGCGCGCGTCAGCTGTCGAATGTTCGAGAAGCGGTGTGGACGGCGCGGACGACGCGGACGGCGCACTACAAGGCGCGAGTATAAGATGCTCCGCATCTAAAAGTTTTGCAAGGCCCCTTCAAGGTCTGGCCACATGCACGCGTTGCAGCACGGCTTTCTGACGCGGTGGCGCGCCCCTCTCCCTGCGAGGAGAGAGGGCACACGACTACGTGCCCTTTCTCTTTATAGGGAAAGGGCGCTGTGCCGCCTCAAGAAGCCTTCAGATGCCCAATCAAGCGCGAAAAGTGACCGTGGGCGTCTGCAACATCATGAGCGAAGCAAACATATAATCGTCATCGCCGCATATGGTAACTGCGGAAAGTGTGCGGAAACGGACATGGCAATAGCAATTATAATAATTGTTCAAGGTTTACGTTTAAAACCTCGATATATTTATAAGAGACGAAGTTGTGGACGACTTGGGAAATTTTCTGAAATTTCTACTACCTGGTGTTCTTCAGCAGCGTGTGTTTAAATCGAAACACACGAGCCTCGAGCGTTTTGCCACCGCCGAAATGCGGTCGAAAAGGACACGACAAAGGAGAAAATCGAGTAGTTAGGAAATTATTGCCACTATTTTATTAACCGCGGCCTGTAAAGCCGAAGTGTCTGGCTCGTGCCGCTAGCCGACATACAGGGCCACTTTGCAACCTGGGCGTGCGGTAAAGCCAGCTTTACAGTCTTGCGTGAGCTTTCGGAGGTGACGCGGCAGTCAACAGTACGGCTTGCATTGATAGCATAATACCCATCTCGCCAAGTGTTCAGTCGCAAGAACCATCGTTTCCGCTGAAACTCAGACAGAGAGAGAGAGAGATTACGGTCGGCATACCATTTAAGTGGAGCGCAAAATAAGACTAATTATTCACGCAAGAGATATCGGTAATTCCGTACCCAGAAGAACCATGCGTGCCACTGTATAAGCGTCAAATCAAACACAAACAGCGGCGGGCATCAGCAAGTGCCCTCCAGTCATCACCACTGATATGCGAGCGCGTCAGATACGGCAGCACCGCGCAGAGCGCACATGCACGTCTGTCCATGGCGAGGGCTTCCTTGGTTCGCGTGTCACCTGGCGCCGACAGTATACAGCTCGCGAAGCTGCTCAATTTAGTCTATAACATCATGAAACCAGTCGAGAACTTTAAAAGCATCTGGGCAGCTCGACAGAGTAGATGTTGTTAGCGCGTTCTAAACTAGGCCAGCGCTATACATACAAGGCTGCCTGCCGAAGCATCAGGCAAGTGTATCTCTTCCCCCCCCCCCCCTCTCTCTCTCTCTCTCTCTCTCTCTATATATATATATATATATATATATATATATATATATATATATATATATATATATATATATATATATATATATAATGAGTTTACATTGTTCTCTAATCGCGGCGTGCGTGAAGTGGGCAGATTCGATATGATGCGAGCGCACAGCCAAACCCGTTTCCACATGTGCATGTGAACAAAAAAAAAGTTTGAAATGTCTGGGCTACATTGTATATTATTATACGTCCCATCGTGCGATATGGTGCGGTATACTTGTACGTGAGACGAGGCGGCAAAATGAGGGCGACAGCGATCGTACAGTTTTGTTGAAGCGGTCACGACACGGTTACCCAAGTGGTTTTCAGCGAAAACTAGAAGCAGAGCGTCTATTATGCCGGCACAGGTCCCATCACTGATGGTGAGCTGTTTAGAGTGATCGATTGATTGATATGTGGGGTTAAACGTCCCAAAAGCATCATACGAATTTGAGAGACGCCGTAGTGGAGGGCTCCTGAAATTTTGACCACGTGTGGTTCTTTAAGCTGCACCTAAATCTGAGCACACTGGCCTACAACATTTCCGCCGCAGCCGGGATTCGGTCCCGCGACCAGCGGGTCAGCAGCCGAGTACTTTAGCCACTACAGACCACCCCAGCGGGGAACAGAGAAGGGAATAAAGACAGATAGAAACGGACACAATAGAATAGAAAAAAAACAATAGAGATAGAAAAAAGCGTGAATAGAGAAAGAAAGAAAGGGGACAATAAAGAAAACCAGGCTTGGCACCAGCAGAGCGAAGCTGGCTTTTTTCTATGCGTTTTGTTCCTTTTAATTGATGTATAGTAACTCCCCGCGCGATATCGACTTTCATTAAATAAAGAAAAATAACAAAGAAAAACTCCGAACTTTGCTGAATTTTTTATCGCAGCCGATAAACAGAAACAGCGATTGACTTTGCCGCACACATCAAACCGACGGGCAGCCACCCTGAGACTTCATGACATTCCCGCAGCGAACGCATTTAGCGTTAATACTAGAGGAGATACTACGCCGGCGGTGCGTGGCGGGATGCACGTATACACCCTCGACATTGAATCGCACTCAACAGCGTAGGCGGAGTGCACAGTGTTATCAGCTCGGCGCCGCTATATGTACTGCAATGTGCTGTGTGTTTATCACTTGCAAGGATGCGAGCAATTCCCTCCCACTGCAGGCAGGAAACGGCCTGTGATATGCACCTATACCTTTCCATTACCCGTATGGGCCGCCGTGCAAACGCGGACACAAGAGAGATCGAAAAAACACGAACGCCCCTTGTGTTAGCGCGAAAGCAGTTGCGTCGTCCCGACTTCTTGCGCTCGTGTTTGCAAGACAACCTTCATTAATCATGACATACCATCAGCCGCTTATACTCTTTGTAGTTCTGAGATTTCCATTGCAAACAATTCGCCCAATATCTCCCGGCATAACGAAGGTGTGAAGTGCACAAACTTGTTCGTTGCCGAAATTTTATTTTTTTCTATAGGCTGCTCTAACAAATTGTACCCCTAGTCGAGTGTATGCAGATAACCATGGTTGTATAACCAAACCAAACAAGACTTAGTTAATTGTAGGTAAAGTTTGCTTCAGATAACGCGCACTCGCACGCACACACGCACGCACACACGCACGCACACACACTGTTCGGAAAACAGAGGTAGTTCTATACATCAGCCTTCAACAGGATTAAACTAATATCAAACACGCCATTTTAGCATGTTACACATTACAAATGCTATTAGGTGGTTGCAATTGACAGCCAAAGCTGTGCCATAAAGGCGTCCGCATATATATACATATATATATATATATATATATATATATATATATATATATATATATATATATATATATATATACATATATACACGTGGCTTTCACGTGAAGTTAAGGACAAAAAAAAAAAAAAACTACCACCGACAATTACGATATTCCCTAATGTGAGTTCAAAGCGCAACTTCCAGTTTGGGCATGGTCAACTGAGTTAAAGTTTTGGCTTTGTGCAAGGTATCGACTACACCACACATTATTTTTTGTGAAGTAGGACAGCACGCGCTGCGCTATTATTGGTCTCTCTGCGGATAAGCGAGGTACCCGCTACAGATCTATACAAGCACATTGTTGGTGCTGTACGGCTGGTGACGATGGAATATGGCTGAATCCTTTACAGCGGGTGGGACGCAGTGAAACAGCCAGTCGTTGCGCATTTAGCATTGCGAGATGACTGGTTGTAACTTTACACTTCTTAGAAGTGTGGCAGCTTGGGCTAGTTGCTATGGCATGACGATAGTTATAGCGCGAGAACAAAACGACGACACAGAGACAAGAAGGACTTTCGTGTCCAAGAAGGTCTTTCGTGTCCTTCTTGTCTCTGTGTCGTCGTTTTCTTCTCGCGCTATAACTATCTTTACACTTCTGACGCGCTATATCAT